ATTGGTGAAATATTAGTATCTTTTACGAAAATTATCAAAGCATTTATTTATTTTGGTTAACATATTGTCCCCTTGGCTTCTTTAGAAGAAATTCATTCCTCTTTGAATGTTGTTTTTATTCCCGTCGTACAGATCAAAAACCCAGAGTCCCTCTCTCGCTCGTCGTCGAGCCTCGATTCTCCATTGCTTGTTATCCAAATCCTGGATTCGCCTTTGCTTTGATCGTCACTGAGCTTCTTCTTCTTCCCGATCCATTTGTTGGTTTGGATTGTTTGTGATTTAAGTGATAGTGGAGATCGGAGATCTGGAAAACAGAGTCGTGTGTTACTGTTTTGGATTGATGGAACTGGAGAAACATTGTGAGATAGTTAGGGAAACTGTGAAGAAATGAAGTTTTACATATCGGCGACGGGGATTAAGAAAGTTACCATATCAAATCCCGGCGTCGGAATCGGAAAAGGAAGCGGAGGATGCGCGGCTGCAGCGGCGGCGTTAGCAGCGCGGAGATTCTCTGGTCGGACGTTGTTACTGTTGCTGCTGCTTCTCGCCATCCTCCTCCCTTTTATCTTCGTCAGGTTCGCGTTTCTCGTCCTCGAATCCGCCTCCGTTTGCGATTCACCACTCGGTACCTTTTTCTCTTAGATTTTGTTTTCTTTTTCTCATTCTTTCAAATTATGAATTACTATATTAATCGCTTACTTCGAATTAGTATATGGTAATAAATTTGCAAATCTACCTATTTTTTTGGATATGAATTGTTCTGATCGCTATAAAGTGTGAATTGAGTTAATGAATGATTGGTTTCGAATTCGATATGGATAAATCTTCTTCGTATTGAATGCTTTGTGCTTGTGATCTTTAATTTAATTTTCGTATGATTTGTAAATTTAATAATACTACTTTTTCTTTTGACTCTGTATTCACAGATTGCATGGGACTGAGACTTTTCCGTGGGGGCGACACATCTCTGGTAAGCTTTTATTATACTTTTACTTACTCTAATAATGAATTACATTTTCATGTCAAGTGTATTAAAACGTCTTTCTCCCGTGTAAGTAATTCTATGTCGGCAAATGTTATAATTTATATACCTAGGTTCCTTTAATTTAAGATATTTTCATTTCATGATTTTGGTTGGTTGAGTTTTCATAACCATTAACTTTAAAATCGATGGTAAACAGGAAAAAATTCAACACTTGCACATAGTGCTGCTATTAAAGGGAAAAAAGATATGATTGTTGTATGGGAACCCAAAAAAAAAAAAAAGAAGTCTTTGCCAGCTGTTTTACGTTTGTGTTGCTAGTGTCGTATAGTGAGTGATGAGATGAGTTTGCCTCTTGGACCTGGTGGGGTAAAAAATGTGTAAAACCGTGATCATTATCATCTATGTCATTGTCTAGGAACAGAGAGATGAAAATAGTCTATAAGGGTGGATTTTGCTGATTTCTGATTTGTGGATTGTGATTTTGCTCTATACTCTAGTTTCGTTTCTATCCATGCAATGACTTTTTCGTGTATCATTTACTTTGATAGTATATTAGGATGAGTTTGATAGATTCATTTGTTATTATTCGCTCTTGAGCTGATGTCAACATGTGAGATTGTCGGAAACGAGCCCACAATGTGGTTTCTTATCAACTATTCACCTTTATTTACTTTATTTAGAACATAGCATACCCTAGAGAGTGTAATTAGGAGCTACATTGAGGGAACTTATGTTTTAGTGAATGGGAGAAAAACAAAAATCTTCGTATGGATTACTATAGATGCCAGAACCAATGTAGTAAACTTTAGTTAGATGTAGGACTTTCAACTTTCCACTCAGTTTTTTTTTCTGACAGGACACGTGGCAGATTTTGCTGCCACCAGAAAGTGCATAGCCACTTGGTTCCTTTCTCCTTTAAACGTAGCAACAAACAGGATCAAAGAGAAACGAGACAGACGGATAATTCCAATATGACTTAAAAAATTGCAATGTTTCTGTTGAAGCAGTTTTGTTGTTTTGTCATGAGCAGTGGCGGAGGTAGCATAGAAACATGGGGGTCAACTGACCCCGGTGAATTTTCAAAATCAAACTAATATTATGGCATATTTAAACAAATACATAGATATTTGATTAAATTCCTATAAATTGACCCCAGTGCCCAATATGAAAACTACTCTTTTGACCCCTTAAACCATAACTTTTTTAATATTACAAAATGATATAGACTATAACCACTAATTGTTATATATAAGTTTCTTTGTTTTTAATTTTATTATCATGTTTTAGACAAACCAAATGTTTTTATAAATATCAGAATTTCATTTTTGTAAATGTAATAAAAAAAACATAAGCTATATGCAATATAATTTGAAGAAAAAAAACAACCACACTTTATTAAAATATTTTTTATATTTTGACCCGGTAAATTTAAATTCTAGCTCCGCCACTGGTCATGAGTTGATGTAACGACCTTATTATGACAGCTTTTTTAGTTTGTAACAACTCACACGGCAAGAAAATGCGTGTCTATGCCTCTTTCAGAAAATTGGGGAAGAGTTGACACGAGCTCTAGTGGAAGAGACAGATCAGGACGTTAATGGAAGAGGAAAAAAGGGATCATTGGAGTCATTCGACGACCTTGTCAAGGAGATGACGTTAAAACGCCGTGATATAAGGGCGTTTGCTTCCGTAACTAAGAAGATGGTATGTCCCTTCTAGCTTTATTTCTTAACAGTTTCTGGCCATTATTGTGTAGTGTCAAGTTTGGTACAGAGTGACATTAGTTTCTGCAGCTATCCTAAAAATCTGATGGATTAGAAGATGGTTGTTCTACTAATCATTCTACCTTAAGATATGATCAATCGCTAGTGGATCATTCAAAAGAATTTTGTTGGAGTTGAATCCAAGGGTGTCATTGTCTTGTCCTGTACAAGTCATATACTGTTGGAATTGAGATTATTGGTGTCTAGATTTAGCACAATCATATGTTGGTTTTAAGGTCTATTAATGGTATCAGACGTTCAATAAGCAATAAAAGCATACAGACATAAAAATCTTCTAGTACTGAGAAGACAAAAGTTCTTCTCTTCTATGTCAAGCACTCTACACTAGAACCTTATCTGGTTATGTCTCACTAGCTAAGTGGAGTATTTCCACTTTTGCTCTGCCCCTTCTATTTTATTTGACACTTGTTTTCTTTAATTTTCAGCTGTTGCAAATGGAGCGTAAAGTCCAATCAGCGAAACATCATGAGTTAGTGTACTGGCATTTAGCCTCTCACGGTATTCCCAAAAGCCTTCACTGTCTTTCCCTCAGATTAACTGAAGAGTACTCTGTAAATGCAATGGCTCGAATGCGTTTGCCTCCGCCTGAATCCGTCTCTCGTTTGACCGATCCATCTTTTCACCATATTGTCATCTTGACCGACAATGTCCTGGCTGCCTCTGTCGTCATATCTTCTACTGTACAGAACGCTGTGAATCCCGAGAAGTTCGTCTTTCATATTGTTACTGATAAAAAAACCTATACCCCTATGCACGCTTGGTTTGCTATCAACTCTGCTTTATCGCCAGTTGTTGAGGTAAAGGGACTTCATCAGTATGATTGGCCTCAAGAAGTGAATTTCAAAGTTAGAGAGATGCTGGACATTCACCGCTTGATTTGGAGACGGCATTATCAAAATTTGAAAGACTCTGATTTTGGTTTTGTTGAGGGTACTCATGAGCAGTCCTTGCAAGCTCTAAATCCTAGCTGCCTCGCCCTTTTGAATCATCTTCGCATCTACATTCCCAAGGTAAAGTTTCTCTCCACTCAACTCTTCTCTGAGCTTAAAATCCAATCCATTTATCAATTTCAAATCCTTCATTTTGTTGGACCGCACAGCTTTTTCCAGATCTCAACAAGATAGTGTTGTTGGATGATGATGTAGTAGTACAGAGCGATCTTTCGTCTTTATGGGAAACGGATCTCAACGGTAAAGTTGTTGGTGCTGTCGTTGATTCGTGGTGCGGAAACAACTGTTGCCCGGGAAGAAAATACAAAGACTATTTCAACTTCTCACATCCTCTGATCTCATCAGACTTAGTTCAAGAAGACTGTGCTTGGCTTTCTGGTATGAATGTCTTTGATCTCAAAGCCTGGAGACAAACCAATATCACAGAAGCTTACTCTACATGGTTAAGACTCGTGAGTATAAATAAATATTTCTTCGTGATATTATCCGCACTGCAACTAGTTACACAAATCTGACGATTTAATTTTAATGCAGAGTGCTAGTTCAGGACTACAATTATGGCAGCCAGGAGCTTTGCCACCAACATTACTTGCTTTCAAAGGACTCATACAGTCTCTTGAACCATCATGGCACGTCGCTGGACTAGGTTCTCGATCCGTAAAATCCCCTCAAGAGATTCTGAAATCTGCTGCGGTTTTACATTTCAGCGGTCCAGCAAAACCGTGGCTAGAGATCAGTAACCCTGAGGTACGATCTATTTGGTATAGATACGTAAATTCCTCCGACATCTTCGTTAGAAAATGCAAAATCATGAACTGAGATTAAAAAACAGTTTAGAAACAAATATAAAGAAAAGAGAAAACTGAGGGATAAAGCCAATACTTGCGGCTGTATGAGAGAACAGAGGGAAGAAGGTTTAAGCCTTCAGCCTCTGCTCATATTTTCTCTCATGTCCATATACTAAACAGTAATTTAGATAAAGGACAATTTTAAATTAGACTTTAAGCATATGTAGCTTCTTTTTGAGATCATTGTCTCAAGCAGTATAATATAGTAATGTAATTTTTGTTTAATTATAGCTACACATATTATAATAATTCGCCACATTATAGATCGATGTTTGTAAATTTGTATTTTTGTAACCCATAATTTATTTATGGACATGTTGTAATGATTTTATGATCAATGTTTATAATATTGATCATCTCTAATTGTGGGTGTTTGGTGGACATGATCTAATCGAAGCTGCTTCTGTATGTAAATATAGTTCATCAGCATAAGGTTCAAGAGTTCATGAATATGCATCACATACTTGTTCAGTTTTGCATTTAGCGTCTACAGACTACATAAGCTCACACTGAGACACACAGTAGCTTATCACTAATATCTTCAAAACAAGTCATCTTGTCTCTATTTGGAATGATCTATAGAGTCAAACCTTGGATGTTTATTTCCCTGAACGCGAGCATTTACACGTCAGTTTCTTCTTTTTACACGCAGCTCCACATGTGTAACAGAACTCGTGTTTGCAATGTCTGACATAAACAAAAGACAGATAATTAAAGTCAAATTTGAACAAATAATATAAAACCAGGCTCAATAACAAATGTCCAATACCTGCAAGTCATTTGTATGCACCCGCCACCATGTTGAACGATGCTCTGACACTGGGAACACTTTTGCCATCCCTGTGTCTTCACAAAAGACTCCAAAAGCGCCGCGTCAGATTTCAGGTAAGACTCCGACTTCTTGAACTCATCGCAGGTCATCTTGTAGTGCCATGGAACATGGCATTTTTTGCAGAAAGACAAGCCGCACTCCATGTACTTCCGTGCTTCTGACTGCCGAAGATTATTGAGTACGTGCTTAATGAGGTCGAGGTCCGACATCAAAAAGGAACAAGAAGGGTTGGGACAATAGACTCTGTCTTTAACGGGGATCGTCTTCTCCTTCTTGCGCTGGATCATAAGAGTAATAGCATCAGCATCAGCAAAACCTCTACAATCCTCTGGCACAAGAATCATTCTCGCAATCCGGGTAAGGGCAGATTGCTGTGTTCCCTCGTAGTAGTTGTTCGGATGAGAACGGCTTCCTCATGCACGTAACGCAGATGCGGTGGAAGCAGCCGTGCACCTCAAACTTATCATTAGGCGAAACGTAAGCGTAGCAGACTGGACAACTCTCATACTCAATGTCGCCTTCACACCATCTAGTTTCGGAAGCTATAGCATCTTTTGCTAGCTTAATGACAGAACTGATGTCTCTGCTTACAGCAAGTGCCTGACAAGACGTGAATCTTGTCTGAAGAAGAGACACTTGCTCCAAAAGTTTTGCTACAATGGGCTCGTTCGGTGCAGCTTTACGAGTAACCTGTAAAAACATGAGAGGCGTGAATATATAACACACGTACAAGATAATGGATTCAGGGTAAAAGAAGAGAGAAACTTACGTAGCCCAAGATATTGGAGTCTTCACAGAAGAATTGGATACTTTCCACACCAAGTTCCAAGGCCCATTTCAAGCCGTGAATGATGGCAGCCAGTTCCGCAGCTTCTGGGTGTGCCAGCTTTTGGTTTCTCAGAGCTTTATTAATCTCCAGTTTTGTGTTATCGTGCGAGTCACAGAGGGACAAACCTAAACCAACGACCAGCACCGTATCATCCTTAATAAGCTCTTCAGTCACCAAACCCTTGGAGTATAACCGATAGGTATGACCGTATGAGTTGTGGCTCCGAGGAGGATTCTCCACGGAATCAAGATCAAGCTCCTGAGCTAACAAACGGTCTTTACTTTCTTGATCCACACGTTTAATATCATCTGCGGTGATTGCATCCTTTATCGCTAATTCCAAGTCATTATCCATGGCGATGGCGGTACCTGTAGGAAACAAAAACAACGTAAGTCAAACATGTAGTGGCTGGATTTATACATTTTTTAAAAACATTAATCATATGGCTTATCAAATCAGGTTTAATTAACAAGGGGAAACTTCATGGATATCAAATTCATAAGAAACACTAAAATCAAAGTCTCTCAGTGTTTTTTCCGACCTAAATCCATTGGCTTACAAAATCTCCCCAACAAACTATTAAATCCAACCCACGAATATATCCATCGGAAAAAAGGCAATAAAACTGTGAGAGAAAGAGATCGATAGGAAAAAGAAGACAAGTCGTTAGGGTTTTAAAGAGAATACCGTACCTCAGCAGGAAGGAAAAACCCCAGCCGCAAGAACCGCCGTGACGTTGCTAAGAAGCTGAGAACGAACGACTTTGAGATCTAAATTCTAAAGCTTGGAAAACAAGGAAACGAATATGTTGTTGAGAAGAAATATATAAATCGAGCCCTAGGCGGTTTTCTAATGGGCCTTTATTATTTAGGCTCATCATTTCGGTCCATAAAATAAAAAATTTGACCGACTAAATTTGATAGAAAGGACTTGTTACTTTTTTAACCCATCAAATAAATTAACCCTGTTAGCAAAAAAAAATAAAAAAAAAATTAACCCTTAACACGAGATTACATGTTAATTCATCCGTGGGCGTGTTAGTGGAATAGATCCCATAACACGAGATTACATGTTAACTAAAACAGCGTTTTAGTTTTGTCGAGGGTACTCATGAGCAGTCCTTGCAAGCTATAAATCCTATCTGCCTCGCCCTTTTGAATCATCTTCGCATCTACATTCCCAAGGTAAAGTTTCTCTCTACTCAACTCTTCTCTGAGCTAAAAAACCAATCTATTTAATTTATGGACTTGTTGTAATGGTTTATGATCAATGTTTATAATTTTGCTTGTAGGCATTTAAAATTTAATAATTGATCGTTTATGCGTCTAATCTTTTATGACAAACTTTGTAGTCAATTATATGAAATTTACGACAGTTATAACGTTCGGTTCAGATTCATGAAGTTCGGTTCGATTGAAATGCCAATCTTAGTTGTGTGTTTTGATTTCGAACAACTAGCTAGTTGTATGCAGTAACGGGTTTTAGAACTTTTGATTTAAATGTTGATGTAATTAGGCAATAGAAACACGAGTTTTGTAATTAATTATCATTATTTGAACCTAAACTATGAATTTAAGAAGTCGCATTATAAATATAAAATGAATCTCTCTTAATAGTTTTGAGGGGAAGAAACAAGTTTTCATGTTTTGAGTTACACAAGCTGAAGAGGAGGTTGGTCTTGGCCGGAGAATTGCTGATTCGGTTCAAGAAGGTTCACCGGAATATAGTTCCGATTATGATGCTGCGACTGGTCATGAGAAGATACACCGGATTCGTAAACAGTCGTCCCTTGTATCACACTCGATTCCTGCTGTTCCGGATTCAATCTGGCACCTTCGGCTATCTGTTAAACCCGAAAGTAAAAGTTCGGTTGTTGTTCACGTTATCTTAGTTACACAATCAAGAGATTGAGATTGCGATTGAGATTTGGAACAGAACGTGGCTAACCTTAGCTCGCAGGTACATGTTATTGTGTTGCAACTCCATTTCCTACACATAATTTTGGGGAAAACTCAAACACTTAAAAAGACCCTAAAAAAGACGAAGAAAGATATAATTACTTGGAATGGAAGAAACGTTGTTACCCTCTTCTGCATATACTCTATCTCTGCCACTAACAGCTCGTTCTGCAAAATTTTCACAAAAGAGTGAGGAAACTATATATATAAGCCAAGGGGATTTTTTTAGTGGGTTTATATATATAGAGAGAGAGACGTAGGTTTTACCTTTTTGGATCGGACACGGCTGATTCCTTTTTCAAGCCGTCCTTCGAGGTTTTTGAGCTCCTTTAAGTTCAAGGAACCAAGTGATTCCCCAACAATATGCCTTCAAGTTGCAAACATGAACAATAAACAAAACAACTTCTAAAGAAAATTACTAACAAACTTTTGCACCTAACCAAATTAACCAAGTCAAATCAAAAAGATTTTAGAACAGTTCTATATATATAACTCCAAACCGAACTGTTCCAAGTCAACCAAACTAAAAGATAGAAGTATATTTTATATAATAAAAGATTGATTTCAATAATGTATAGTTAATACAAATTTTTTATTGTTTTATATATCTTAATTTGATTTTTTTGAAAAATTATGCCAAACACAAAATTATTTGAACTGAAACGCAAGTAACAATTTGATAAAATTTCTTCTTGAACAAATCAAAATGCTCATAAATCATCATCCCTATATTATTCATTTATTATATTACACAGCAGTAGAGTATCCAAGAAACAAGAAACCATATATATCAGAAACCTCAAGAAAACTTAACGAATTACCTGTTCTATGTAATCATTAATTAACTAAGGTATATAAAACCAGAAATTTTAACAAAAATTACCTGTTTGAATTCTGAATATCTCGAATCTGCCTCCGAAGCTTAGAGGCTTCTTGCTGATAGTACTTCAAAAACCCATGTATTCAAACACCAAAACGCAACCGTTTCAATGGATTCCAAGAACTCTCTCTCTCGTTTTGTAGGTTATATTTATTTATTTTTATATTTTCTATATATATAATGAAAACAAGAAGATTAAAACAAAGAGAATAATAGGACTATATAAATTGGTACCTGAGTATTAGCTTCGGTGACGGAAGGAGGGTTGACGGCATCGGAACAAGCTTTCTTGTACCTTTCAATTGTTCCCCTCACACTAACAAGATCGAGAGAAAAATAAAACATTAGATGTATATATAGTAGGAAATTCTTGATTAATTAGAGTTTTGAAATGTTTTTTTTTTTCCAAAAAAGGGAAGGCTTTGGAGTTTGGACCAATTTCTGACCAGTACGAGGAGAAAATTTATTCAAACGGTACTATAAATTTATTCAAACACATGGCTTGAGTAGATTCACAAGATATTATAAATAAAAAATGGCCTAAAGTAAGGATAAAATATATATTTCTACAAATACAGTAGAACTTCTATAAATTAATACTCGATAAATTAATAAATACGATAAATTAATAAATTTGACTAGTCTCAAGTCGGACCAATGTAAAAATTAACCAAATTCGATAAGATAATAAGATAATAATTTTTTTGAAATCGCTATGTAAAAATATAGTCCCAATAATATCATAAATTAATAATCATGTAAATTGGTACATATATATATAATAGTTTTAATGTTTATCACAAAAATAACCAAAAGTTTTTGTAAGTTTCAAATTTTGAATATACATAATTTTTGTTTTAATAGTTGTATAGGTTTTTAAAATACAACAATGGATGTTACTATTTGTGAATTTTAATTTATGTATATCGTTTGTATATGTGAATTCTATAATCGTTGTGATTCATTGTCAAAATAAATTATTTTCTCTTCAAATATTAAGTGTTTAAAGCTAAAACTATAAAATTTATAACATCCAAAACATTAATTTTATTTAGATCACATTGCTCTACCTCGTATTTAAAAAAAAAGGTTTTCACAAGTGAAACAAAACTTTCTATTAATTAATAAATATTAATTTACGCTATAAATTAATACTTATTAATTTATAGATAAATTAATATCACTATAAATTAATAAAATAGCATGGTCCCAACATTATTAATTTATAGAGGTTTTACTGTATTATGGTTTAAAAATTGGTAATTAGGGTTTGAGGAGGATTCAGAACATGTATCGTGTATATGATTCAATGTCATCATGAAGGTATGCTTTAAAGAAAAGTGTTTTTCTTTTACTTATTATAACAAATAAATGAAGCTCAGAATGCCAGAGATTCTAATTGGCTCGTACCATTTTCATTTCCGACACTTCTCTGAGTTCTCTCCCTCTCATTGATATATCAATGCAACAAATATACATACATATACACCTAAACAGAAATAGAAGAGACTAAATCTTTAATTTCATTATTTGTATAATTTTACACTTGATGGCTGATAAAAATGTGTTAGACAAAGTCATCTGTATGTTTATTGTTTTTTAGGACTTTTTGTTAGACAAAGTCATCCTAAACATATATACTTAGTGTAAAGTTTTTTAAAAGGAGCGTTGAAAATCTTCAGCATATAATTAACTCAAATTTTCGTATCATTTGGGTTGGGATTAAACGATCAAATGGATCCCTAGTGACAACTCATCAGTAGACTTTGTCCCTAGTTTCACCAGACAGAAGGTTACATAAGTCTTGATCATCCCCTATTTATATGTATACATGCTAAATCGTGTCAAGAACCAAATTTTTTAACTGAAGTAAAACCTAATCACAATTTGAATAAGGAAATTTGATGGGCCGTCAAAATTAAAGTATATTGTAGAAACTGACATGCATCGGGTTCAAATGATTTGCAGAAAAAAGAGTGAAACTAAGGAAAAAGCAAAATCAGAATTTGAGAAGACAAGACAACTTTTTTTTCTTCGTCTTCTTACATTTGCATACATATACACACTTACACACACACACTCGTATATATATATATGTATATATAAATAGAGAGAGAGAGTGCTAAATCTAGGTAGATATATATTAAATAAATCGACAAGTAAAATCTAGGATTCTAAATTAACAAAACCCTATAATCTTGGCTCTCAATCCCCACTTTCGCATCATTTTAACTAGGATCTTGATTAGTTAAATCAAGAAAGCAAGATCAAGAAGCTAGTGAAGGAGAAGCGTACCTGTTGTTGGCGTACTCATAGAGACGGCCACGAGTGGAGAAGATGACGAGGGCAACTTCCGCATCACACAAGACTGAGAGTTCATAAGCTTTCTTGAGAAGACCATTGCGTCGTTTGCAGAAAGTTACTTGACGATTTGTTGTGTTCTCTATCCTCTTTATCTCTATTTTCCCTCTCCCTATCTTCTTGCTACTCTCTCCGTCGTGACTACTCCCACCTTCCTCCATTGATCCTACGACATCACCAAATGAATAATAAAAAAAGAGTTTAGAGAGAGAGAGATCAGAGAAGGCTAATCTTGATGATCAAATCCCTTTTGCAGATCAAGAATAATCAAGAAATAGATCAAACCCATAATCTGGTAAAGAATCATATATGGATCGGAATTGAATATAAAGAAACTTTGATCACAAAACTTTGGGTTTTAAGGGTTCTTAACCTACTACTTTATAATGATCAAATCTCTTTTGTGGATAAACAATAACCAAGAAGCGTATCAAACCCATGAATTGGTAACACAAGAACCAGAGACTGAATTGAGAAAGAAAGAAACTGTGATTATATATAAATCTTTTTATTTTTAGGGTTAAATCTATATACTGCATAATATTCACAACCTTACCTGAGTTCTCAAGATTATGATAGATCAGCAAAAAAGGAGAAGGTGGGTGATGAGAAACTTTGAAGAGAAACTATATATTATTATTTATCTCAGTACCACTTAACTGCTGCTTCTGCTCTTCTAATTATGTTGTTCTTGAAAAATATCTCTCTTTCTTTTTGTAATTTCTGTTTTGGTTTATGAGTTTCATATATTTGAAGGAATATTTCTTTGAAGGTAATAAGACCCTACTTGCTGAAAACAGAAGGTTATTAGTTTTTTCTTTGTGCTCAAATATATTTATACATAAAATAAAAAGAAAAAATGGACAGATCATCTAACAATTGTCCAAACAGCACATACTCAACATACCTAGAAACTCACACTTTTTTATTCTCTATACATGCATATAAATAGATATGGATATCTATAAGTGAGATGTGTATTTTCTTTTTACAGAACTAGAAATTTGAAATTGAAGAGGAAATTAATTAAATGATTAATAATAAGAAAGGAAAAAAAAAAAAAAAAGAGAAGAAGAAAAGAGTAGGTGGAGGACATTGAAGGAGGACCATCCAATTTCTTTCATGGGAAGGGGAAAAAGGAGAGGGATGGGCTCTGTTTCTCATCAGAACCATCTTTTGGAAACTCCTTATTTTTGGTAATCTTTCTCACCTTTTATCTCTTCCTTTTTTACCCTTCTGCATTAATTACCATTAGATGCTCTCATAGATCTCTATCTATCTATCTATCTCTGTTTATTTACAACATCCATATTCAAATTTATACGAAAGTCTAGAATGGGTATGTAAATCAAGCCTAACCAAAGCCAAGTCTAACCGAAACCATGCCAATTTCTTTTTTGTAATGTTCATGAAGATGTTTTTGATAATCACTAGTAGTGTTGAAGAATGAAGTTAACGATCGACCTCTCGTTTGCAAGAAATACAAGGTTGACTAGAACCCTAAAATATAAAATCAAGTTTTACTTAAAAAAAAAAAAAAAAACGCTAATACATCGATCAAAAAATGTTTTAAGGTCACAAATTACAAATATCGCTACTCTTGAAGAAAATTGGAAAATATCGCAAACTTCAGGTTAATGAAGGATTCATGAATCATTTAGGATATTTTCCTCAAATTTTAGGAATCTTTTGTAAACTAAAAGTTTATGGTAATTTTGGAATAAGAAAGAAAAGAAAATGTGGACATATTTGGAGGGATATATCTTTTGCGTGGGGACATATTCATTTAATACTTGTAACGTGAGGACATATTTAATTTATTTCATATATGTAAATACGCTATACACAAATGTACCAATGATGAGAAATTCATAATAATAAGTGAATTAAATTGTAAAAATAAATGAAAATTTTAATTATTCATGAGAAAGTGGATGCCAAGATACACACATAGAGACGTAGGTGTGGTATAATATGGATATATGATGACAGGGACTTGCATGTGAAACTTGCCTCAACTTCTCCTAGTACCTGAATCCTTTATGGGAAATTAGGGTATAAGTAATTGATTATTGTGCTTTAGTCCTTCATCTTCATTTTTCTTTTTCATTTGATCCCTCTTGAACATTTTGGATTTCGAATCTTGCACTCTGTTAGTTTCATTCTCTACAAAAAACAATCCAGACCAAATAAAATCATATTAGTCTTTTCTTTTGCGTGGGTCCTCGATCGAGTGACAACAACTATGATAAGACATCTAGTTTAAATTCTGAGTATCTAGACATCGGTCTTGATTCAAAATTGTTGAACATATATAACCGTCAATTTCAAATATTTTATAAATATAAATTAAACTTTATGTAGTATTAAACGATTATTTAACAGATTATTTTCTTTCTTTGTTTTTAAGTAAAAATAATAATTTCAAGACGAGAATTCATATGTGAATAGGCTTTTACGCTTAAAAAGACAATTCCGAGGAATTTGACAATGATATTACTATCTATGAGGTGGTTAATCTTAGAGCACGCACAAACGAAAGACTATACTACTAAAATACGTATCTAATCTTACGTGAAAATTTTGTCCATACATATATAGAAACATTGAATCTTGATTATAAGGTTAATTATTCCATTTATTGAGATGATATATAATAGGCAAGGTTTTCCGTATAAACATTTGTGTCTTAGTGAATAAGTAATTATAATGACATGCATGCTTAAAGTTAAACGTGTGAATTAGAATTGCACTCAAAGCAAACTTGAGATCTTTAAAAGGCCAATTCGACACTGTGGATGGCAAAGCTAAGTATTATGTTGTGTTTGCATTGTTTCTGGCATTGTCAAAACCTCGTCAAGTCCATTTTGTTTTCTCTTTTCTCTGTGGCAGATCTCACTAGCAGTCCAATATAGATTGCATTGCGGAATTTATAGATTACTCGATAACTCGAACCTTTATTTTTGTTAGATTGGGGGAGGGATATAAAATCAAAACAAATACTGTGAAAAGAAAAATAAATGATGAGACGACAACTTAATGAGGGAACAAGAAATTAAGGAATCCAACAAATGGTGACTAATCATACGTATTGTCATAATCATCCACAACCCTTTTCACAGTTCACATTAACTATTCGTTTACAAATGGAAACTCTCTTTGTTCCATACCTCCTTGCCTTTCGTTGTAATTAGTAATTGCAACTTATCTTAAATTGTGGCTTGTCGTTTCAAACATTTGGAAGGACTTATTTTTGTCTGATCTTTGCGGGAAAAAATATTATGGTTATTTCGACCAGCTATTTTTGTATAATTTCTGTTAGGTGCAAGTTTAAAGTCATTTAGAAGTACTCTAACGGGCAATAAGCTCTCAGTTTAATCATTGGAAAAATAAAATAAAAAATTGACCACTGCTGAATACAACTTCTGGTTTATCTAAAATCTTGAGATTCCAATTCTTTTGATAGGAAAAATTTGAGAAATCTTATTTAAAAAAAAATATTCACATATAAGTACTTCTTTCAAAATCTTCTTTAAAAGTCTTTTAAATAAAGAACACAGAAATGAAAAAAATGACTGAGAAACAAAAGTAAAGATTTGTGAAGAAAGACCAAATGAGAATCAGATCTTCTTTGCATCAGTTTGACCTTTTTGTTTTGGGTCTGTTGGAGTAGATTCTTTATTTTACTATCTCACTGAAAATTCTTCCTGATGATCTTGAATAACGTGTATATAAGAATGTTTATGGATTTCAAATTAAATCAAGACACAAAGAACAAACTTATCTTGATGCCGATTTTTGTTCTTTAATTACTATATGATCCAGACTCCAGATAGAATGATAGTACAACTGCAGAAACTGTAGAGGGGACTCAGAGCATCTCCAATGCAGGGTTCTCTTCTATATTTTGATGAGTTCTCATCTGAAATTGGCAAAAAAATAATTCAAAATTGAGTAAAAAAAAGAGAATCGATTCTCTCTAGAGTGCTTTGAGATTTTGAGAGAGCCGGACACGTGTCAGTTTTCAATTGGAAGGAGTGTTAAAATAAAAGAAAAAAAAACACTTATTCCTTTTAGTTTTTTCTCACGACAAAAAAAAAAAACACGACTCCTCTCTCTCTCTCGATTGATCAAAGAAGCTGATGAACAAACGCCGATTTCGTGAGATTCCGATGAGTCTATGCCGGAATTGTGGTATGTGAGACTTACCTACCGCCGGAATCATCAACGGGATAGACGGTTAAGACCATCGGCGAATGGAGTCAAAACGAATCGAAGATTGGCGATGGAGAAGAAGGATTCGTTGAAGGATGGTCCAATTTCTTGTTCCAGGTATGAATCTCGCCCCTCCCTCTTGTGTATCATGACTTAATTCGTTGTATTTTGTGTTTTAACAAAAGAATTGAAACCAATCGTAGCAAGATCAGTTTCATACTCTTCCTCGCCGACAATGATCCCACCACCGGTCAAAGCTGGTGTCCAGGTCTCTATGACTCTCTTAGGGGTTTCTCAATTTTCGTCCAATTTCGATCGATTTCATCTTCTCGATCGATTCAATGGTTTTGATTGGTGAATCAGACTGTGTTAGAGTTGAACCTGTGATTTACAAGACTCTAGAGGAATTTCTAGAGGAGGGGAATCTTATTCGTGCTTAAGCCGGTGACAGACCGGCGTGGAGAACTCCGACGCATTCGTGGAGAGTTGATTCTCGGTTTAAGCTCATCGGAGTGCCAACTCTTGTTCGTTGGGATGGTGACTCTGTTAAGGGACGGCTTGAGGATCATCAAGCTCACCTGATTCTGCCCCTTCTTGCGCCAGCCACTTGATTCGATCGATTTCTCGGTAAGTTTGTTCTCGGGGTTTAGGTTAATGAATCTCTAATCTTCTTGGAACATTGATTGATATTGTTCTATGTTTTAGAGACTATGTTCTATGTTTTAGAGACTATGGTGGGATTGAGGATTTCTTTGTGTTGTTTTCCAATAAGTCATCATTCATCTGCTGGGAATTGCTTTCATCTCTGCTTAACAACTCTCTTAATCTAGAAACTCTCATCATCAAGTTATTATACAAAAGCAGTTATATGTTGGAGGTCGGGGACGTTTCCAACTTTCCATTGTGTGATGGGAGTCATGTGAAGCACAACAAAGCTAATAATGGAGATAACGTTGGTCATCTTCTTCTCAATAACTAAATCATTTGTGTCTCACTTACAAGATTGGCGCCAAGGCTCGCTCTCACATTGGCTGCTCAAGAAACACTAGCTAAGTTGGTTAGAGTGAGAAGCAAGATATGAAACTACACTCATACGTTTCTCCTGGTTATTATTTCCACATTACTACTCTAAACTCAGTTTTGTTGAAGACATCAAATCATGTAATGGGTACTTTAAACCTTTTTAAAACAATCTTATTCCTATGTACATTACCATCTTCCTTATTGATCATAGTCTCATTTTAATTGAGTTTTCTATAAGAGTATAACTAGAGAGAGCATCAAGCAAAACAACATTTAAACGCATTGAATTCTCAAGCCAAAAGATAAGTTAACCAATCAAACAAAAGATTCACTTGTCTCTTGTATTTCTTTACTTTGTCCCAATAAAACAAATATGTTTATCAACACTTACATTATTTCAGTTTTTTATTTGCACATCTACTTTTAAATGTTTGAAATTAATGTATGTTTAATATTTTATGAATTAAACTTTTTAATACATTTTTTTTTTCTAAGAGAACTCCACTTGAGAACCTACCATTGGACTATGAAATTTTTTTTTAAAAAACAAAAGTTCTCATCTCACATTTTCACAAAATTTATATTAAAAAATTTGAGAGAGTCTCATGGAGAGAGCTCCCCATTGGAGATGCTCTCACATGCTAAAGCGTAATGTACCTAGAAGCTTTTGCAAACATTGAAATGTTCAAGAACGGATCTTCGAGAAGCAAGCTTAGTTTAAGTGTATACATCAATGTAACAGCATAAGTTATATACCATACTTTCATACTCCTTATGTTTTCATCTTCTTTGTTTCTTTTGGTGTTGTACTACCTAAACAAGGCAATCATGCACAACAATTCATTCCAAGTAAGGCATTATCACCAAATAATTCATAAAACACACAAGGGATGGTTCAAACAATTACAAGGTTATATACCCTTAGACTCCTAGATTTATTGATTTCCTTAATTTGCTGGCCTGCAAAGAAACTCTTTTACATAATTCATGCCACCTTGCATTGGCAGCAACTTGGGGATTTTATGGTTCTTCATTGGATACTCCTCTACGGGTGCTACCCGCTTATTTGTAGTTCCAACGTTTATTATGGACGAAGATAAACTTGACCCATAGAAGGACGTTAGTTGCTCGCTGGGGTTGATGAAAGACAATTCAGAACAAGAGTTCTCAAATGAACTTTGAGGCCAAGGAGCCTGTGACCGTCTAGTAGAATCTACGCACGAGAAAGGCAATCCGAAAGATGGTTTTCTAGCATCAGGTAGGAGACCAATATCAACATTGTTGTAATTAGATGGAAAAGGTAGTTGTTGCTGGCTGAATGTGAAACTGTTTGGTAGCCCTAAACCAGATCCATGGAAGTTGAGATCCTTATCAGACAATGGAAGAGACACGAGCGAGCAACATGGATTCAGGATTGAATCAGGAATTACATATGCTCTGGATTGAGAAGCCAAGCTGACATGTGGTTCACAAAACAAAGAAAAGGGATCCTTTGAAGTATCACGTAGCAAAGCTCTGTTCCAATTCTTATCCAATGTTGTGGTTGAAGGACTCATTGAAACTTCAAGTGTTGTCCTTTGACATAGCCAGCTCTGGTGAGTATGGCTCCCCAGAGAGGAATAATCTATAGAAGCATCCGGTGCTAAGAACCTATCGCCCGTTCTTGTGCTGACAGAAACATCCTGACCCATCAGCCGCATTGTTGCTTGAGTGTTTTGTAAACACAAATCATCACGCTTTGAAATCACCTTTCCACTATTTAGGTTCTGTTTGACACAACTCTGTTTTGACATATTGATTGTGTGGCTCCTTGGATTGACTTCAGAAACCGATGAATGTAAAGTGTAGCCGCACTCTCCATCATTAGTGTTTGTGAAATATGCTTTCTCTGTAAAGGTCTCATCAAGGCCTAACCTAGCAGGAAAGTACTTGTGGCGTTTCTCATTACGCGGTGCACTGTCTTTGGCAAGTGCTGGCTCAGTTGAATGCTTCTTTTCACTGGAAAAGTCCACTAAATTTCCAAGTAAAAGATCATTCCCTGCAGATGCAGATTTAGAGGAACTAGTACATAAACCTGACCGATCAAAACTTCTATTAGCCTCTCCATTTGCATCAACAAGGTCACCCTCTAAATTTAGAGGGAACCCTAGGATCGCTTCTCCCACGTGCCTTTGTCTATATAAAGCTGATTTTTGCATCCATTCGACAAGAAGTGGATCAAAAGGTGATTGGTACAGCAATGCCCCTCGGTGCATATCAGCTGACACAGGTTGAGAAAAAGAAGGACAAGCTCTGTACGGACTCTCACTCGAAGTAGAGATAAACGATTGAATAGGTTGAGCCACATGTTCCTTTCTCTCCAAATCCAATGCATCATTTACTCTTTCCTGTGAACTAAGATGTGGTCCAAGGAAACAAGACAAGTCAGATTTTGAAACCGCAGGCTGAAATTTGTATTGTTGCCTTGTTTCGAAATGCATAACTGTACTAGTCTGATCAGTCGACATAACCTTCACTTGCTTGTCATTTACAGATGACGGATCCTTCCTCCGAGAAAGATTTCCAGAGAGACTCAACCTATTCATTTCCAAACAGCAGAGTTCTAAAGAGACAGTACTTTTCTCCAGCTGAGAAAGATTTCCAGTGTGATCAGAGAAACTCACATGAGTTTTTGACTTATCAGGACTCCTAACAAAGCAAACTTTTCGTTTTGCTTTAAAAATTGCAGGAATCTGAAACTCAGAATCATGCTCTTTACTGAATAATCCAGCCTTGTTGCTACTAAGAGACATAACACCAGAGCTTTCTTTAATCCCAAGACTGCATATTCCAACATGATCCACTTTTTGTTGAGCTTGTTCTTTGAATTGATTAACCTGAATATACCGTGACACCAATTCACTAGTGTAAGTTTACACGGATGCTTCACATAACATACTAATGAACTAATGCAAAGCCAATGTAGCATAGAGAAGCTCCAATTGATTTAGAAAATCGCCAACATATTAGAAGGTTTTGTAATTTGCTATCCTTTTTAAGTATTGACTATCGAGTTTAATCCTAGAGAAAATAAGATGACCAAACTTGTCCAGAGATCTAAAATAAGCTTCATAGATTTAAAAGTTATATGTATATGACCTTGTTAGCAAATTCCCGACGACCGGAATCTTTGGATTTCGTGGTTTTGATCTTCTTGTGCACGACATGATCTTCTGCAAACTGGATTTTCGGTGCCGTCGCACAAATTTCGATGATGGAACGCTTTTTACACGGTTTAGACTTTGCTTTGGCCTGATGAGAATCATCAACAGAGACCGGAGATTTCGTAAGCAGAGAAGCTAGCTCATGCGACCACCACCGGAACTTGGAGACAGTAATCGGAGGAAGAAACGACTGAAAAAGATCTCCGGCGAACGGCCAGCATTTCCGCACGTTTTCACTCCTTACCTTCTTCGTGTACTCTCTGCGATTTCGCCAGATGAGAAAATTCAAAATCGCCAATGCATCATATTATAACCAAAATCAAAGCTACCTAAAGAAATATGAACATTCACCTGATAGAAAATCCACCGTAATCAACCTCCATGGTTCATACAAAGTCTAAGAGGAATAATCGATTTCTTGACAAGAGAACGATGAAGGAGATGAAAGAGAAAGTTAAGATAGACAGAGATGAGAAACAAAAAAAAAAAAAAAAAAAAAGGTTTCAAGAGTTTCCCGCTCAGAGAGTCTCTCTCTCTCTCTCTAATGGCGCTTTTACGTATTTATTCTTTTACAGCTTTCTATGGAATTAATAATTTATTATTTAATGGAGATGAAAGCGATAGAGGAGACGGCAACGGAACCAAAGCGTAGAGGCTGAGTTAATTTCTTAACCATTAACCATTAGACCCAACAACTACGACGTTCTAGTCTATCTGTAAATAATTAAAATGGTCAGAGCTTCTTAGTTTATCTACATTTCTCAAAAAGTCAAAATCTACTGATTCGATTTGACGTAAGACTGAAAGTACTCTACTGATTCAAAGAAAAAAAGGACGACTCGATTTGACCTCATCTTATTTTCTACAGCTAGTACTACCTTTTTATCGGCTCGAGGACTTCTAATTCTTTTTTTCACGCAAGAAAATAAAAACAAGTTTAAATATATTAATTAAACGTCTTAAACTAATTCAGATACTACTAATTACACTAAATCACTCGAATTAGCTCAGAGATCTCATTATTTTATTTCTCCACTGCGTAATAATTATTATACACACCACCATATTCATTCTGGTTAAGAAAAAAACAGTCATGATGTCATATAGATACAAAGACCTAAAAAGAATTTGACATTGTTTTCCTCAGGCAATTAAAGAAAAACAAACCCAAAGCTCTTGGAGTCCGTCATCTCGCGAATGAGCGTGATGAACGGTTACTTCCAGGATTCACATAATCTCGCTTTGTAAACAATCTGATTCTTGGTATGCATCTTCCTAGCATCACCTGTTTCGTAATCAGTAATCAAACCGTCTCAGAAACTTTAAATATTAAAGGGAGTGTGTGTCTGTGAGAGAAAGAATTGAGTAACAACAACCTTCCAGCTCCTTTTGCTTGCAAATCGATCACTTATCAACTCCAAAGTAGAGATGATTTCTCTAAACGTTGGTCTTTTTGATGCTTCTTTGTCCCAACAATCCTGGATTAGCCTGGCAAATAGAGAGAGATTTTAAGACTCTCAGAGAGGATCCATGAATGAATGAATGTTGTTTCAAAAACAGGACCCTTTTTCGAAACACTTACTCTCTTAACCCGAAAGGATATGATTTTGTTGGTGCATTGAATGGTGGACGTTCGTCTTCAATATATGCTTTAGGAACTTCGCTTTCTTCTATCTCATGAAATGGTTCACATCCTTCTATCATCTGTTAATTTTGTTAACACTCTGAACATCATACTTGAGATTAATGGTGTAACACACAATACTTTATTAAGAAGTCTCATAGCTCTCTCGGTTGCTTTACCTCTTGCAAGATCAAAGCAAAAGAAAATACATCTACTTTCGTATCATACTCTTCGTTTCTGTAAACTTCTGGAGCCATGTACCGCCCTGTTTAGCCAGAACGACAACAGAGAGTATCATCAGCATAAACCCATCCAAAACAACCATCAGATTGGTTTCAGTCTAGCTTTAGATAATAAAACACTAAAGCTAACAGCTCTAAGCTAGCTCAAGACAGCAACATCACAACTCTGACAGAGCACCAATATTAGATTATCAGGTAAGAGAACTTACAAGAACTGTCCAATGATGTAGCAGGTCTGTCTTTTTTAACTGTCTTCTTAACTACCAGTAGCTTGCTGACTCCAAAGTCTGCAACTTTCAGATGTCCCGAATCATCCCTCAGTATGTTTCTGTTCTCTTACTCGAACAAATGAGAACCTTTTGGATTTTTTGGATATATGAAACATAGTACAATAGAAAAAATTGTGTAATGAAATAAATTATACTGATACAGTCAAGAGGAATAACATACGGAGGTTCTAGGTCGCAATGGATTATTGCTTCAGGTTTATGCTCGTGCAAATAATTCATTCCCCTGCAAATATATGAAGGGATACCATAGAGCTATTCAGAATTCATGTATCATTGCCACCGGTCATGCATAAATATGAACCTGCATGACAATGATAAAATTATAAAAGTACAGAAAATAGCCACTTAACCTAGCAATTTCAAGGGCGAATTTTACTGCGTGCGCTGGCATTAGAGGTCCTTTCCGGTCTAGATATTGTCGAAGATCTCCCTACAAATAAACACATAATAATTTAATACTTAAAAGCATAACTTTTTATGCAGTGAAATATGAAACAGAGCAGTTTGCAGAGGTGAAGATCTAAACATCTTCAAAAACAACTAAACATCAAAGCCATTCTTCATGTCATATCTAACCAACTGTCGAGGTAACTAAAGGACTAGCTCAACACATTTTCGGTTTATTTTGTAAGCTTCTTGAGATCTACTCATCCCAATATTTCCAGTATGTTTATAGGATTCCAAAGTGTTCATGACGGATCTTGAAACTAAGATGAGAATTTGTAAATTAGAGAGGTCATACATCCTCTGAATGTGGTTATACAGATTGAGAAAGAATAGTACCTTTGGTAAATACTCTGTGACAATCATCATGGGGGTACTTTGAGTAACTGCTCCCAGAAACTGGACAACATTCGGATGGCGTATCTTTTGAAGCAGTGCAAGTTCGTCCCTAAACGCATTCCTGGATACCAGAAGGATATTAAAACCTTTAGAGCATGATCAATACAATAATACAAAGAAATCGATGGAGTATAGACTCACACTTTGTCTTCATCGGTGAACATTTCCTCTCCAAAGGTTTTCACAGCCACGTCAATTCCACGCCATGAAGCCTTGTGAAAGGTACCCTGTAAAGCAGAAAGATAGTAATAACAACTGTGAACATACCATAGCAATTGTTGGCAAAAGCCTAATACTCTTTTTTCACATTAAAACTCTTACTAAAAGATTTTTGAACCTTAACCAAAGGAAAACAGCAAGGAACATGTTAGGGCAAGGGAACTACCTACCTTTGAAATTTTGACAGAGTTAGAAAAATCAAGCTCTGAGGGATGAATCTCGTACTCTGGAACTTCTTTATCAGTTAGGACATGCATAGGAGCAATCTAAAATCAGAAACGATTATAAAAGAAATCAATAAAAACATTCAGAAAGTATAACATCCATCAACGCAATTATGAGGGATAAACACGTACCGTAGGCTTAGCACCATGTTTCTCCAAAAGTTTAATGACATCATGATTTTTGTAATACACTGCATCTGCAAGAGGCTGGTAAGATCAATCACAAATTGTTAACCATCACTATTATTGCAACCGAGTTTGCTAAATAAATCTAAGTGCTCCACTAAAACATATGTTTTTGTGCGGCAATTCGTCGAACACGTAACGAACTATGAGTCTAGGAGAAGTCAATTCAAACCAAAGCAGACAAAATTCAGCCCAGAGAAAGCTCAAATTCATACCGTACTACCCCATCGGTCCTTCGTATCAACCTTAGCACCACGGCTAAGCAGCAGCTCAACGACATCGGTTCGTCCCTGACAAGCGGCGACGTGAAGAGCAGTACGGCCATCGATGTCACGGTAATCAACATTAGTTCCCGAATCAAGCATCTTGTTGATCCCATCGATATCACCTTCGTTGGCTAAATACATTAGACGAATCGTCGGATCCACGATCCCAGCTGTAGCCGCCGCCAACTCGTCGTCCTCATCTTCGGTTAACGTCTCTATCGGGGGTCTTGATTCAGGCGCAAGCGAAGATTGCCTCCCTAGCTTGAATCTCGCCGGCGATTTAGGCTTAATCGTCATGTTCAACAGAGGAGGACTTGGTGAGATTTTTCTGCCGCAAGCAATATGAGCTGTATATGGAACTGTAACGGCAGCAACAGAAAAAAAAAGAAAAAGTAATAAGAAAGAAAAAAAAAAAGTCCCAACCAATCAGCAGGCTTTAAGGGTTTGCCTCTTAATGCGGGTGAAGTATCATACTCGTTTTCCTCCTAGTCCTACTCATCATCATACTTCAATTTTCAATTATTACTACTCCCTTTTTTGTTTTTTTAAAAGGCTAATTGCTTTTTTCCTTTTGGACATAACTTTTTTTCCTTTTTTCAATGAACAATTTAAGTATTTAACTGAACAAAACAAATGTAAATTTGATTAGTGCAAAAGCAAATGGTACAAAAGGAGTAAGATAAAAGTGTGAGTGGAGGTTTAAATGTTAACTTATGAAATCAAATTATTGAATCACATTAACTTTCAAAGAATTTTTGGAAACAATTTGAGCCAGTCCGTTAATAGTAAAAACTATACAAATGCATTAAATTTGCAAACATAACATATGTGTTGTGAGAAGTGACCTCGGTCTAGTAGCGTTCATAAGAGCATATTAATGTATATAATATTAATGTATATTGTTCATTAGTATAGAGCTTTGTATATATTATGCTTTACTTAGCTTAATTGGAGTATGTATAGGATGGTTAAGTCTGGTTTAGAGGTTTTGGTTTAGGCCTGGTCAATTGTATATAAACCCACAATTGTACATTTTACATGAATTAATGAGAATGAGATTATTTACTAATAGAACATGTTTACTCATGAACCAAAATGAGTATCACTAACAGTTTTTTTATTATTATTTTATGAGTTGAAACCCAAAATGAGTATCAATAGACTCACCCCAATTATACTTTTCATCCAAAAATCAACCCAAAATTTTTTTTATTATTATTATTTCATGAGATGATACCACAAAAAAATCATGAGTAAACATACTCTAAATCCATCAAAAACTGACATTACTTCATGGGTTCTTAACTTACTGGTGAATCTTTGTGCTAAGTGTATAAATATAAATTTCCATATGTTCATAAATATAAATTTCCATATGTTCATAAATTTTAACTGCAAGATATTTGACTGATGAATGATTTAGAACCAATACAGAAATCGACTTAACATTTAAAACACCTAATCCATTTCCCCTTGTTCTTTCTATTGTCATGAGCCCAGGCAAAAAAAAAGCTAATGGGCCGAACAATATTAAATTTCTCAGTTTGAGACCAAATAAAGTTGGCCCATTATCGAATAGATATTATTTAGCAATCCGAGGACGCCAATCGACTTTTACTCGATCCACATAACGTCTGAACGTCACTCGCTCGTGTTATTAGCCACGTGGAACTCTCATTGAGCGAGTAGTCTACACCGTCCTTTGCGGGTAGATTACAGAAACGAAAGTCTTTCAAGTCCACACCAGGATAAAACTGACAGATAAGCCTCTTTAGACTTTCCATTTTAGATTTGACGAAGGATGCTATCCGTCGATCCAAGCTGAATAATCTTATCACCGTTGATCTTTGGATAAACAATAGATCCGTTTTCAAAACTCTTACCCGTAGAGAATAAAAATCTCAGCTACTACCAAAATTAGGAAATTCAGGATACAAAAGCCAAGTCACTTACCGAAAGATTGTTTCTTCTTCTTCTTCTTCTTCGCTTCCTTCCTTTGAAATTGAATTCAGATTTTTATTTTTTGAGGGGAAAAATGGAGATCTCGCAGAGAGTGAAAGCTCGATTAGCCGTTCTCACCGCGCATTTGGCGGTGTCTGATACCGTCGGATTGGAACAGGTGTTACCGGCGATCGAGCCATGGTGCACATCGGCTCACATTACCGCTGCACCGCATGGATCGCTTAAAGGAAACTTGACGATCGTCGATGAGCGTACGGGGAAGAAATATCAGGTCCCAGTCTCAGAGCATGGTACCGTTAAAGCCGTTGATCTCAAGAAGGTATATAACGGAATTGTGAAATCGATTATTGATGAGCTTGAGTTATTGATCTGAATTTTGATCCGTCTTACCTATATTTTCGTGAATCTGAGAAGGAATTTGATGGATTTGCATGTTTGGTATGCAGATAACGACGGGGAAAGATGACAAGGGGCTGAAGTTGTACGATCCAGGTTACTTGAACACGGCTCCGGTTCGATCTTCGATTTGTTACATCGACGGAGATGAAGGAATCCTACGTTATCGGGGATACCCAATCGAAGAATTGGCTGAGAGCAGTACTTTTATTGAGGTTGCTTATCTCCTCAGTAAGTCTTGATCATCTCGTCTGTTGTTGCTTATTTTATTTTTTGGGGTGTATACTTGTGGAAAAGCAAATGTTTGATCATAGGTATTGGATAGAAATTTATCATCTTGAAAATGGTTTCTCCCTTAGTGTCGTGTTGAAATACCCTTCTTTTTTCTGCAGTGTATGGAAATCTGCCTTCTCAAAGTCAGCTAGCTGATTGGGAGTTTACGGTTTCTCAGCATTCAGCTGTGCCACAAGGAGTCTTGGTGAATTTCTAATCTTTCGTTATTTGGATTTTCATACTAGTGCAAATTCCAAACTTTGTATCAAAATGTAAATCTCAAAACAAAGAGGGATTTCGAAAATGATTTCTTGTGAACTACAAGTTGTTTGTCTTGCTTGTAAACCATGCTTGTCAAGTCCATGTAGAATACTGGATCTCTTCCAATTATTAGTGCCCTATGTCTTACTCTGCTTAGTAACAGAACTTTCTATGGATCTTTGACCTGAGACTATTTCTGAATATTTTCGCAGGATATCATACAGTCCATGCCTCATGATGCACACCCTATGGGAGTTCTTGTGAGTGCCATGAGTGCACTTTCTATCTTTCATCCTGATGCAAATCCTGCTCTTAGTGTAAGTTGTATAATCCTGTTTTTTTCGTACTGTTAAGATGTCTTTTTTTTTTTTTTTCTGAAAATGTCTATGTCAACTCGATGTGCTCCATTTGTCTGTGTTCTTCATTTCACGGAAATTCTCATTGGGTGCAGGGCCAAGATATTTACAAGTCAAAACAAGTTCGTGATAAACAGATTGTTCGTATTCTCGGAAAGGTATTCTTCTATCTGGTGATGGTTTGTTTCCTTAACGTATCTGTCAAATAGTTGCGGGACTAGTAAAAGCTTTACAACGTGTTTGCAGGCACCAACAATTGCAGCGGCTGCTTATTTGAGGACGGCAGGCAGGCCTCCTGTTCTTCCTTCGGGCAACCTTTCTTATTCAGAGAATTTCCTCTATATGCTGGATTCAATGTACTTCCTCTATCTTCTCTCTTTTTTTGATTAAACACTTGCATTTGAAGAGGGTAGTCATAAAACTTGTGTTGCTTTAGTCAGTTTAGATCTGTTTCAAGCTTCAAACGTGTCTGTAACAGGATACATTCTTTAATCTTCCTTTGATTACAGGGGCAATAGGTCTTACAAGCCTAATCCTCGTTTGGCTCGAGTGCTGGACATCCTCTTCATACTGCATGCCGAACATGAGATGAACTGCTCTACTGCTGCTGCTCGGCATCTTGCCTCTAGGTACTTATAAACTGATTAGAGATATTCATTTAGACTTCTATGAGAGTGTTTAAATCAGTATTGTGATTCTGCAGTGGTGTTGATGTGTACACTGCTTGTGCTGGAGCTGTTGGAGCGCTTTATGGTCCACTTCATGGTGGCGCGAACGAGGCTGTGCTTAAGATGTTAGCAGAGATTGGGACAGCTGAAAATATTCCAGATTTCATCGAAGGCGTGAAGAACAGGTAACTCAATGTTTAAGAACTACAAGCACTAAGTAATCTGAATTGTGGTGAGTCATGCCAGTAATGTTATATCCCTTTTCTATGTTCTCAGAAAGAGGAAGATGTCAGGTTTTGGACATCGTGTTTACAAAAACTACGACCCCCGAGCAAAAGTCATAAAAAAACTGGCAGATGAAGTGTTCTCCATTGTTGGTAGGGATCCTCTCATCGAGGTACTGTAGATCCTTGTGCCCACGTATCTCTCCTAGTATATGGTTTGTCAAAAAGTTTCTTATATAAGATGACTGTGGTTTAAAAAATATTTGACGGATGATGTTTTCAGGTAGCAGTTGCTCTAGAGAAGGCGGCGCTGTCTGATGAATATTTTGTGAAGAGAAAGCTGTACCCAAATGTTGATTTCTACTCTGGATTAATCTACAGGTAAGACATTGCTGACAAAAACCCTGTTAGCATTAAGTTCTTTACCTGAATCTTGTGTTGGTAATTGAAATGGGGAAAAACACAGGGCAATGGGATTCCCACCAGAATTCTTCACAGTCTTATTCGCAGTCCCGCGTATGGCTGGATACTTGTCGCACTGGCGTGAGTCGTTAGATGATCCTGACACTAGGATCATGAGACCCCAACAGGTAAAATACATTACATAAACTCGAATCTTGACATACACGTGTTTGATAGATCAAAAGGTTTTGTGTTTGAGCTCATTGTATTGTGTGGCTGCATATAGGCCTATACTGGAGTGTGGATGAGGCATTATGAGCCAGTGAGAGAACGAACGTTATCAAGTGATTCGGGTACGGATAAGTTTGGTCAAGTTTCCATTTCGAATGCATCAAGAAGGCGTTTAGCTGGATCATCTGCCCTTTAGTCTCAATCCTACAACACACCAATAAAGAAGAAAACATTGGGATACCTCTGGGAAATTAAGAGAGTCTCCTCAACAACTGTGTTGTTTTCTTTCTTTTATAATTAAACACTTAATAATACACCCTATTCTTATTGTTTGTCTGTTATTTAAAACTTTATGATTTAATAATAATAACAATCTTGTTACAGGGAAAAGACATGTAATTCTGATAAATTGGGCTTTTATGAGGAAAGTTCGTTGTAGAAGATGATCTTCTTATTCCTGTTAATATAACACATTGCTATAGTTGTAAAGATTTATATTTAACACACTGATTTGGAAAAAGTTAACTAACCACCAATTCATAGCGTAGATCGAAATGATTTATTGGCATGCTATTTATAATTTGCCTGAAGTTTTCCTATCGTTTTCTATTATTGCCAATAATATTTCCATTTAAAAAATGAGGAAAACAATCGTGAGAAGTGTGAACAAATACAAACCCTGGATTACTTGACGCTTACGTACTTAACAGAAAAAGTAAGAAGCAACCAAAAAATACATAAAATTGGTTAAAAGCCACAAAACTCTGACTGAAGACAAAAAAAAGGCACTGTAGATTCACGCCAATCATGCCCACAAGGCCACGAAAGTATTACGACAAAAGTGTTACGTTATAAAATTCATTATTTACACTTAAAAATTATCAAATTTCGCCACTATAAAACCATGTCGATATATCAATTTCAACTACAGTCACTTGATTTCCTATCCGCTTCCTTTCTTGAATTCTGCTTTTTGAGGTGCAAAATGGAGATTCCGGAGAGAGCTAGCGCTCGATTAGCCGTTCTCACTGCGCACTTGGCGGCATCTGAGCCGACTCAGGTGTTGCCGACGATCGAGCCGTGGTGCACATCATCTCACATTAGTGCTACACCGCATGGATCCCTTGAAGGAAACTTGACGATCGTCGACGAACGTACGGGTAAAAAATATCAGGTCCCTGTCTCAGAGCATGGTACCGTTAAAGCCGTTGATCTCAAGAAGGTATATATATATAACGAGTTGTAATTCTGAAGTCATTTCTTCCTTGTGGCTCTTAATTTAGTACTACGACTTTTTTGTATATTGTGTGTGTGTAAATGGATTTGCATGTTTGGTGTGCAGATAACGACAGGGGAGGATGACAAGGGGCTTAAGTTATACGATCCTGGTTACTTAAACACGGCTCCTGTTCGATCTTCGATTTCTTACATCGATGGAGATGAAGGAATCTTACGTTATCGGGGATACTCAGTCGAGGAGTTGGCTGAGAAAAGTACTTATACAGAGGTTACTTATCTCCTAAGTAAGTCTTGATCATCTTGTAGCTTCTTCTTGTTGCTTATTTTACTTTTGGGACGTATACTTGTGACACAAGCAAATGTTGAATCGTAGTTCTTGAAGTTTTTGTCTCCCATAGTGTTCTAGTACTCTGTTTTTTTTTCTCATGCAGTTTATGGGAATCTGCCTTCTCAACGACAGCTAGCTGATTGGGAGTTTGCGATTTCTCAGAATTCAGCTGTGCCACAAGGAGTATTGGTGAATTTCTTTCTACTCTTTCCCAACTTTCTCTGGATCTTGGAGCTGAGATGATTTTTCTGAATGTTTTCACAGGATCTCATACAGTCCATGCCTCATGATGTACATCCAATAGGAGCTCTTGTCACTGCAATGAGTGCACTTTCCATCTTTTATCCTGATGCAAATCCTTCTCTTATGGTAAGCTTTATAATCCTGCTTTCTTCCTTCTGTTAAGACTTTCTGAACATGTCCACGCCGACATGGAAATCCCCATTTGGTGCAGGGCCTAGGTGTTTACCAGTCAAAACAAGTTCGTGATAAACAGATTTTTCGTATTCTTGGACAGGTATATAAATGTTCTGTCTGTTGATTTGGTGTCTTGATGTGTAACCGGACTGTGAAATATAGTATAATGTATCTATCTGCAGGCACCAACAATTGCAGCAGCTGCTTATTTGAGGAAGGCAGGCAAGCCTCCTGTTCAACCTTTGAGCAACCTTTCTTATTCAGAGAATTTCCTCTATATGGTGGAATCAATGTACGTTATAGTCCCTCTTTGTTTGATTAAACACTTGGATTTGAAGAGGGTAGTCAGATAATTGTGCACTTGTTTACTCTCATCTTCCACTGATTACAGGGGAAATAAGTCTTACAAGCCTAATCCTCGGCTAGCTCGAGTGTTGGACATTATCTTCATTCTGCATGTTGAACATGAGATGAACTGCTCTACTGCTGCTGCTCGGCATCTTTCCTCTAGGTACTTATCACTGGTTAGAGATTCATTTGATTTGAGTCTGCTAGGAGATATTTTTTAATCATTACTGTGTTTAATTATGTAGTGGTGTTGATGTGTATACTGCTGTTGCGGGAGGTGTTGGAGCCATTTATGGTCCACTTCATGGTGGTGCAATTGAGGCTACGGTTAACATGTTATCAGAGATTGGCACTGTTGAAAATATTCCAGAGTTCATTGAAAGCGTGAAGAATAAGTTACTCAATTCTTTATACTACAAGTATCTAGAATGTCATGAGTCAATATTCCATTAGTGTTAACTATTTTCCTTCCAGGAAGAGGAAGTTGTCGGGTTTTGGTCACCGTGTTTACAAAAAATACGATCCTCGAGGAAAAGTCGTTAAGAAACTGGCGGATGAAGTGTTCTCCATTCTTGGAAGGGAGCCTCTGTTTGAGGTACTTTAGATTCTTGTTGCTCACGTATCTTGCATGTTCCTTGATGAATGTGTGTTTTAGGAAAGATTTGGTGTTAATGTTTTCAGGTAGGAGATGCTCTAGAGAAGGCGGCACTCTCGGATGAATATTTCATTAAAAGAAAGCTTTACCCAAATGCTGATTTCTACTCTGGATTAATCTATAGGTAAGACATTGATGAGTCATCTAACAAATTCTTACTAATGAGTTGTTGTAACCCAATGAGTTCTTTCTTTACCTGAATCTTTTGTGTTGGTAATTGAAATGGGCAAAACACACAGGGCAATGGGAATCCCATCATCATTCATGGCAGTCGCACGTATTGCTGGATACTTGTCACACTGGCGTGAGTCGTTAGATGATCCTGACACAAAGATCATGAGACCCCAGCAGGTAAAATGCACCTTTGATAGATCAATGACTTCAAAAAAGTTGTTTGGCTCATGAGTCATTACACATAGAAACATATACTCTTTGATAGATCAATGACTTCAAAAAGTGTTTTTTTGGGCTAATGGTAATACCTTATACATAGATTCATGCACATTTTGATAGATCAATGAGTAATAGTATTTTTTTGGCTCATGAGATTATACACTATGCATAGATACATACACTCTTGGATAGATATATCAATGACTTGAACAGTCTGTTTTTGGCTCTTACACTTTTTTAATATATCAATTTTTTTGTTTTTGTTTTTGGCACAGGTCTATACTGGAATGGGGCTAAGGCGTTACGAGCTAGTGAGAGAAAGAACCAAGCTGTGATTCGGATTTGGATCAGTTGGTCATTTCGAATGCATCAAGAAGGCGTTAGCTGGGTCAAGTCTTAATCCTAATACGTACTAATGTTTATAAATCTGACCCGGAAAGCCAAACGGAAAACAAAAAAAATATAAAGAATATACATATAAAATATAGTTGGATCAACCCGATCCGACCTCGAGTTAGTAATAGTAGTAGAACTTCAATATATATTGTACATGTACATCAGTACATGTGTGTGTGTGTGTCTATATATATCTATAACTTGTGAAAATAAAAAACATAAATATTTGTACTATAACATGTTTTCGGAATATGATGTTTAACCATTTTGTAAAGTGATAGAAATTAAAACAGTTCAAATCTAAATTATACCTAACGGAAACAGAAAAATAGTTAGTAGACAACAAATCAAGAAGAGATTGGATAACTGAACAAGGACATATATGCACCAATAAAGACGAAAACATTGGGATACATGTGGTTAAAACAAGAGGGTCTTCTCAACAATATGTGATGTTTTCTTTCTCCTTATAGTTAGTTAAACACTCAATGATTTACATACTACATCGTATTGATATTGTTTGTATGTTATTAAATTCTTTTATGATTTAATACCATATCTTGTAGTGGTTCTATAATTCATCTAACAATAATGTTGGAATATGGAAAGATATATACTTTAGATAGATATCACCTTTATCAGGAAAGTTCTAAAAGAAGATCTTCTTATTCTTGTTAATGTAACACATTGCTCTATTAGTTCTAAAGATTTATATTTAACACATTTTTTAACACATTTCCTTAGAAAAATGTCATATGGTGTTGAACGAGAGATTAATTTCTCCTCAAACATTTGGAATTTTCACAACAAAATTAACATAGAGTTTCATACCTGAAACTTCTAAATTATTTTATTTTATTTGACAAAAATATATTTTAATATTTGGCTGAGTTTTGTTTTGTCCTTACCAGTGTAGAGAGGATGGGCAACAATGGGTCCAGATTTAAGAGACGAAAGTCGGCCCCACCATAAGTGATGAGCTGTATATTTATTTTATTTGTACAAAATAAGTCCTTCATGTTTACGGTTAATTACACAAGAGCCCCTTTGTTTCCTCCACGATCACAGCGACGAGGTCGAATACGATCTTCTTACCCCTCCTGTCTTAAAATCAAATTTCAATTTCTCCATTGTCTTTCTCTTTGGCTTCTTCCAATCTTCAGTAAAGAAGTCGCCTTTTATAGTCTCTCGAGAGGCCCAGGTATTTCAATCCCAAATCTCTCTCTTTCCTCTCAATTTCTCTCTAGTTTGATTTCTCGAGAAATTGAATCTGGGAATTTTAAGGGTGTATCCATTTAACCCGACTGATCAATTCTGAGTCCAATTGGTTAGGTGTTCTGTGATCTGGATTTCTTCTGGGAAACGATATAATCCTAAAGTCGTAGACTTTGATTCAATTTTCTGTGGTTCGAATTACAAAAATTATTTAAATTCGTAGACTTTGATTCAATCTGGTAACAAATAATGGATAATCTGATGGATCTCTGTATGGATCATTCGAGAGAAAGATTGGGTGTAGTGAAACTTAAGAATCTTTGCGTGTTCCAAATTTGGTTCAATTCTGGTTTACGAGATTGAAGGGTTGATCTCTGTCGTCGATGATGCTAGTATTGTTTCGCCGCATAGAAAAATTGTTGTCTTCTCCCAATCTAGAGGAGTCTTTAAGAAGTTGTTTGTGTGTGTTACTTAAATGGCAGAAGATAATCCCATCTCTTTCTTTTGCAGTAGTTTTGAAAGATGGCTGGCCAAAACGCACGTTTGAATGTGGTTCCCACTGTTACAATGCTTGGGGTTATGAAAGCTCGTCTTGTTGGAGCTACAAGAGGTCATGCTCTCCTCAAGAAGAAGAGTGATGCTCTAACTGTTCAGTTTAGGGCACTTCTCAAGAAAATTGTTACTGCAAAGGAGTCTATGGGAGATATGATGAAGACATCGTCTTTTGCTCTTACTGAAGTAAAGTATGTTGCTGGTGAGAATGTCAAACATGTTGTCCTCGAGAACGTTAAAGAAGCTACATTGAAGGTTCGTTCTCGGACAGAGAATATCGCTGGAGTGAAGCTGCCTAAGTTTGATCACTTCTCTGAAGGCGAAACCAAGAATGACTTGACCGGTTTAGCTAGAGGTGGTCAACAGGTCCAAGCTTGCCGTGTTGCTTATCTGAAAGCCATTGAAGTTCTAGTTGAGCTTGCTTCTCTCCAGACTTCTTTCTTGACGCTTGATGAAGCAATCAAGACGACTAATCGCAGGGTCAACGCCCTGGAGAATGTGGTGAAACCAAAGCTGGAGAATACTATCAGTTACATCAAGGGAGAGCTTGATGAGCTTGAGAGAGAGGATTTCTTCAGGTTGAAGAAGATTCAAGGATACAAGAGGAGGGAAGTCGAACGACAGGCAGCTCATGCTAAGGAGTTTGCTGAGGAAATGGTTCTTGAAGGCATCTCTATGCAGAGAGGGATTTCGATAAACGCTGCTCGTAATTTCCTTGTTGGTGGTGCAGAGAAGGATTCAGACATCATTTTCTGAGGTGTGGGCTCTCTCTCTCTCTCTCTCTGCCTTTCGTGTTTGCTCGGTTTCTATTTTCGCCATCGCGCTGTTATTACTCTCTTCATCAGACTTATGTTTCTTCAAATAAAATGGATTTGATGTAGATGAAATATTGTATCATCTTGGATTGTGCTTTGCTATAATTTTTTTCAAGAGATGTGTGATTGTTACTGTTTTGAGTAATGATAATTCCCCTGTTTCAAGACCAAACAAATTTAGAGTCTTTCTCGATTAAATTTACCGTTGGATATAATTATTGGTGGCTTAAGCATAGCATAGCAAGAAGATAAGGGAAGGAACTTTGTGAATCCATTTTAAAAAGTTTGTGAATCCATTTCAAGTGAGATCAATAAAGTGCAGAGCATTCGTGAAGCTTGAAACTTGGCAATGTAAAGATAAACTTCAATATTTATGAAGTGAAGAGGTTTATAGGAACCTTAGTTGATATATGAAGCACACTACCTTATATTGTATTGATTCTTCTAGATAACATCCAGTTTAAGATTTAGCTCGTGATGTGTGCATGATACTTGTTCAGGAGACAAGACATGGCATCACATACTAGTACAGATTCCTTGCTTAATATATCAGCTTTTAGGGAATCATATAAGTGGAGAAAGAATAACTCAAAGCAAGAAAAAGAATATAAACTGCATTAATACACAAACTTATCATATCCCTTATTTTGTAACAAGAAAGGCCAATCATTCTCAGCTATGAACAACAACAGAAATGGCTATTCTTCTGCTCCAAATCAACCCAATTATAGTTATGATTCTGATACACGATCATCGGGTTGGCGAGTTCCTGCTTTCTCTTCGCGGAATGCTTGGTCCAGGAGTAATTCAGTAAGTCGACTTTTCTTCTTGTCATAGAACTCCTAGAGGAATGTTTTAGCCTCCTCAACGGTTTGATGTTTCGGTATTCTCTTTCAGATAGTTAACAGACGCTTGCTCGATGATGATCCTCCAGCCCCTTACTCAAGTACAGCGATTTTATCAACCGTGTACTTAAATCATCACCCTCTGATTCTTCATGCTTTTGATTTTGTTTCAAACGTTTAGTCTTTACATCCTCTTCAAGAACTTGAAAAATCATTGTTCATGGCAGAGATTTAGTACCACCATCACATACTCGGCATCGGATTCCAATCCGTAACAGCAACAACCTACGAAGACAGCACCTCGAGACACTAAGACAAGCTGTTCACAACCAACCCGCTAGACCCGAGAGCAGCTCCAGATCATCATCACAAACCAATGAAGAAGACGAGATCCTCAAACATCTAACAAAAGAAACATATAACCCAGTCCCAAAAAGCACCCTTCTCAGAAGCCTGAGCTTATACTACAGAAACAAAAACCCGGGAAGCGAAAACTCAAGAAACACTCAAGATCTCTCCGGTGAAGAAGACGACAAGAGATGCTCCGTTTGTTTAGAAGACTTCGAGCCCAAGGAAACAGTGATGCTCACTCCTTGCAAACACATGTTTCATGAGGAATGTATAATTCCATGGTTAAAGACTAAAGGACAGTGTCCTGTCTGTAGATTCGTCATACTCAAGCCGGCAAAACAAGAATCTTCTCTCACTAATGGATCAAATCTTGCCAGAGACATGACAATGGATGATCTCTTAACATTAGAGTTACTCTCTGTGGTAAGAGCAATGGAAGAAACTTTCCTTTTCGGTTATCCACGTCGCATGTAGAATCTTTGTTGTACTTGAATTCTCTCAAATGATATTAAATTTATTATCTGGGTTTTTTTTTTTATATAAAATGAATCATATGAATCCACCATTGATACACCTTTACAGTGGAAAAAAAAAGTTTTGGTTTTGGCTACACACACTCATCTAGAACTATCACAGAAAGGAATGGCGCCAAAATCGCATCTCCGATGTTGCTCCTCCGTCGCAACGGTCCCACGGCGGAACACGGAGGCGCAATCAGGTAAATCACCGAGATCACCGAACAAAGACTCATCTTCCTCTTGGCCTAGTGACAAACCTCTCTCTAGAGTTACGTCGAGGAAATTCGAAGAACCAGATGATGATGAGATTGATGCGTCGTAGAACCACCCGAACTCGCCGATTTCGCTGTAGCAGCCACCTAAGAGCAACGGAGAATCAACGTGGCTCAGATCTAGTCCTGCCGGCGGTTCCTCTGCGGCGGTGACGGTCAGTTCTTCCTCCTCTTCTTCGTATTCTTCTTCTTTTTTGGCGGTTTTGAGGACGACGGGGGAGCGGTGGTGGGATTTGTTGTTGGCGGAGGAGGAAGGGAAAGGGTGGTTGTGGTCGCAGGCGTAAGTAATCATGAGCTTTGAAGGGTCCACACGGCTTCTCTCCACCTGCTTCCTCGCCGGACATCCTTTTGAGCTACTACATCTGTAGTATCCCCTGGTCAATAACAACAACAAAAATATTAACTTTGATTGCGAAAACAAATAAAGTGGACTTTTTTAGCAAAAACAACATTAGAAAATACTCAAAATTAACACCAAAATATAATCAAAAGTAGTACATTTTATGATAAAATATACACACTTTTAGTATAAAAGTTGAAAACTTAGCTCAAAATTTTGAAACACATGAGTAATTGTTAGTCTTTGATATATAATTCTTAAAATAAAAATTTTAAAATTAACCCCAACAAATCAAATGAATAAACTTTTAGACAATATTATATAATATTGGCACGTTAATCACGTAGATATATCATATACTCCTTAATCTATAATCACGTAGATATATCATATATATACTTTTCCTTTTTGTGCGCATTACCCTTTTGTGGCTTTTTCTTAGAAATCAAGATCTACCGCTACTTTAATGTTTCACACTTCCCCGAGGTTATCCAAAATTTTAATATAGTAAAAAAATAATTCAATTAGTGAGTGACACATCTAAATTGTTCCTTAATTACAAGTTTACAACATTAAAAACTCCCCCCCCCCCCCCCAAGAATTAAGGAGCTGGCGCGTGAAAGCAACGCGATATCAAACGCGTCCGTTTTCAACAAAACTCCTACAAGATGCGTACGTTAGCCCAACCACCGTCAAGGCTAACCTACGCTTTTCTCATTTCTTAGCCGCCGCTGGTTAAAACGACAAAAAAAAAACAGAGAGAGAGAGGACAAAACCGGAAATTAAAAAGAGTTTTACCTGGGATAAGGCGAGCCTTTGATCGGCTTTTGTCCGTACTTTCTCCAGGCCCATGAATCGGACGGTGGATATACTTCGCCTCTACTCTTAGATCCTTCCACGTCAGCAATCGGAACTGAGACAACTCTCTTCTCTACGTTCCTCCTACTACACCACAATTATTAACATTTTCAGATCATTGTATTTTTCTAAAACAATTCATAATAATAACAGCAAAAAATTCACAAACCTTTTCTTTGGAGTTGGTTTTGAGATCTTTGAGTCTTCACAAGACGAAGGAGATTCAGGAACGACGTCGTTGTAAGTCTCATCTTCTTCGTCGTCTGATTCTTGAATTGCTCTACGGTGCATGATTTATCTCGACCGTCCGATTTCGCCGGAACAGAGAACTGAAAGATGTTTTTTTCTCTGTTGAGAGCCGGTGATTAAGAAGGTGATTAGTGAGAGGGTTTTAATCAATCTGATGTGATTATTATTCTCTACTTGTTTGGGGACGTGCAGGCAAATATCAAAGGCATTATATTGTTATTTTTTTTTGGTAGGAAAGGCATTATATTGTTATTATATTGGTCATTTGTATTTTATTTGAATAAAAATATGACCAGTTGTTTTGTAGTGGATTAGTTTATTTCTTTTTTGAAAGGTTCTTTCTCTCTCTTGTGGAATTTTATTTTATTTATACCCATGAGGTTTGCTAATCAACTGATTTATTTAATTAGCTGGACATTTTGATTAAGTCCATGCATAATTATGCAAATCTATATTATAATTATCCGCATCTGATCTATAGACTGTGATCTTTTTATTTTTTGCTGTCCATGTAAGAAAAAAAAAAATTTATGCATAATATCTCTAAATTTATAACATCCGGAATGAAGTTAAGTGCAACCATTATTGACTAAAAACATTTAATCAATTGAAATTCATCTATGATTCAGTCAGCCCTAGTAAAAACAGAATACACAGAAATGAATGAATTTTTTTTCAAAAAATTACCACATTTTTTAAGCCGAGTTTGAAATGCTTTTCGACTATTACTAGAAATTTAAGTTATAATGAATCAGTTTAAAGTGAAACTATCGATTTAGACGATAGTTCTTAAGCTGTCTAGTGAATCCGATTGATCTATTTTGACTCCTTAAACTATCAGTTGATTTGGTCCGTTCGATTTTCCCAAAATGCATCATGTTTGTGAACGTGACATAACATTCTTGTATATATAAAATACATACATACTATTCTTTTCTTATAGATTTACGATTTATCCAATCTGTATTCTACTGGAAATTAACCTTTTGAATCTTATGCCAAGGTCATTTTCATCAGAACTTTCTCATATTAAAAAACTTGATGTACAAGTTCTCTTATTCTCTGCTGATCTTAGTTCTTATATGACTCCTCCCGTTTATTATAGGAAGCTAGAAAGTTAGCACCAACACGAATATAAAACATGACATTCAATCATTTATTTATCAATTGGATTTGAGCTGAAAGCTCATAACCTCACATGATATGATAGTCCAATAGGTTTAAATGAGTACAACCGAAGAAGCAGAAAAAAATCTGGTCCAAGAAATGAATGATCATAGAGTCATCATCTTGAAATATATAACGTGCTATGAATGTTATATCATACTATTGTATTGAAAACATGGAATAAATCAGTCGTTAATAATTAGTACCCTTAAAGTTAAAACCATGAAGCTCACAAAAACAACCAATTCACATCACTTTTTATGCAAGATAATCGGTTGCTTTTATGTTTTGGCCCGTACCATCCACGGAAAGACATGAGATCTTAACCAAAAAGTTTGTAGAGAGTGACACGGGCCCTTTTTTTTATGACAAATAGATACTTGTTGAAGATGACACATTTGATGACGTTTGTGGATGAATTTGGCTAGATAGAAGCTGCAAATTCATCCGAGATAAAATGTAAATTTTTTTTTTAAAAAAGAACATGTATATAATAGGTCTAGAGTTTCTACTCCCTAAACAAATGACTTAATATTTTATAAATGTGTACAGAAATTTGGGCTGGAGATGGCTATAATAAAATTGTGTGGGATCAAGTCAAGATTCCTCCAGTCATTTATTAAATTGTAAAATCATAAATAGATAAAACTATAAAAGCCTGTGTCATAATTATTAGTTTAATTACTCCATTATTGTCTCCAACTTCTTCTGTCAGAATGGAGCCAAATTTTTTAATTTCTGGTTGTATCAAGGTTTCTGATTAATTTATATATGTAACGCGTGTTTACACACACAAACATATGTAATGTATATACATGTTTGATTTGGTCATTTCTGATCATGATAATTAATGTCGAACCAATCAATAATTCGCTCAAATCTGATGCAACTGAGAATTGACAATGAAACATGATTGGATAATGTTTTTGAAGTTGTTGTTATGTTAAATAATGTACAAGTACAAGGTAATTTTATAATTGACACGTCTTCTAAATATTAAACATATACATATAGTCAAAGATTCTCATAAAATCAATGTAAAAAATGCATTTTCGCATTCCTTCCAATAATTTTCACGTAAATTTATGAGTTAAATTAGCTAGTTGGATCAGGTAGGATAAACTAAATCAGACAATCCAATCAAAAAGTTAAACCGAAATGCGATCATAAGTCATAACCAAATCGATAAATGTTGAACTAAGAGTGTTGTTTTACAAATACACGGTTTAGGGTGACTTATTCACATCTAGAGGATGTTCATTACCAACTTTCTGTCGGGGTATTGAACATTCATAAATCTAATTAACTCGCGATTATTCTTAAATTCGAAAATGTGTGTTTAGACCTTTAGTCAGCTTTTGTCGATAACAATAATTGTAGTAGAGATAGGCAAATATAAGGAAAATTCAAATGTCTGAAGAACAGAGAAACAAAACAAAACTGAGAAAGTAAGATTTGAACCCAACAGAAAAAACAGATTATAGATATTTGTTTGACACACTTTTTTAGCCAGTAATGTTCTGAGACTTGTTGAGAATGACTCCTTCATATTTCACCTGGAACCATTTCATGGCATCATCTTTCGTTACTCTATGCTGGATTCCAACACGAGCTTTGCATCTTCTGCGACGTGCCACACGGTAACCAGGTCGCTCAAGAACAACATAGAAGTCCATACCGTAGATTCCAGTCGATGGATCATACCTGAGATCAAATTAAAAAACTCACGCTTGGTCATACAAAGCCACTCTTATGTTGTTCTATGTTTGTGTTAGAAAGATTGGGACTTACTTGATACCCAAATCAATGTGCTCTTGAATACCAAAACCAAAGCAACCAGTGTCGCTAAAGTTCCTTCTCAAGAGTTCGTATTCTTTAACTTTCAGTCCACTCTCAAGGAGCTGCATTGCCTTCTCTCCCCTGACAGTCACATAGCAAGCAATCTTCTCATTACGTCTGATACCAAAAGAACGAACAGTGTATCGGGCTGCAAAAGAGATAACAAGTGCTAAGATTTAAGGCAAAACTCTCTTCATCCAATACAAAGTTACAAGTAATTGATAGCTACTGATTCTCACTACGATTATCTGTGGATCCAGACCAGTAACAACTAAAACTTCTTCACCACAAATAAGAACTAATGACCTAAAAAAAACACTAATTCATCGTCCTAAACTTCCAAAAGCATAGTGCCCATGTTTTAGTCGAGATCACTAACTATCTGAAGCAAAATTTCTCAGAAAATCGAACGATGAATTGATATACCTTAGAAGAAAACTTACCCTTGGAGAAAACAGGAGTCTGACCACTCAATTGTTCCAACACCTACCAAATTATCCAAGAACTAATTCGATTAAAATCGAACATACTCACATGTTGAAATGAAACTAGACAAAATCGATAAACAAAGTGAAACCTTGGAGGCTCTGGTGAGACGATCTCCACTCTCACCGACGGAGATGTTAAGAACCAGTTTCTGCACTTTAATGTCCCTCATTGGGTTCGATAGCTTCTTCTCCGACGCCTGAATGAAACCAAAACATATATCATCAAATCTTTACTTGAAACATCAAAAACGTGAAACCAAAGAAGACGGACCATTTCTGATTAAGGTTGCGATTAAACTCCGGCCGACGGGAAAACGGAGATGAGGCGGCAAAATATATAAACCCTAGATCTAGTAATAACCCTTCTAGAGTTCTAAAGCAAATTTTACGATTTCTGAATGACGATTCTACCCTCCTTCCTCCATCAAGCCCACGTTCCCCTCACGTAGCCCTTTTCCTCCTGAACTAATCATATCATTCTCGTAATGGGCCAGGATTGGCCCATAGATTTTAACATGTAGCCCATGATGATTTTAAAAAGTTTATTTGATGATAATCTTATAGCCTGACTGGTTTAAACGCAGCGGTTGCGGAAGCGGGCGGTTGCGGCTTCAAGCGTTATCAAGCGTTTTGAACGACTGGTTTAGCGTTTGAAAATGGGTGCGTTTGCGGGAATTTTATGACTGGTAAACCAGCGGGTGCGGTAGCAGTTAAATAAAAAAATGACCAAAATAAATAAAAAATATTACAAAAAATAAATAAAAACACCAATATATTATTATGATAATATTAGAAAAATTGAACATGCTTAATAATTAAAACCATAAATAAAGTACTAAATAATTATTCAAAAATAAATAAATTTTGTAACAAGATAGTACTTTATGCATCTGGTTTAACATCAAGTAATGGGACAAATTGTAAATAACGTTGAGTTCAATCAAAAAGCAAGTGAGTTTCTATTCGAGAAAACAAATCGAAACATATATTCAATCAAAAAGCAAAGCAATACGTAATGAAAAGAAAAAAAACGATGCCATGAAAAATATTCAAAAAGTTACACATGAGGTGATGAATGAATAAAATGATATATGATACTTACGTTTGGTTATTAATTTCATCAGTTTGGATGGAAGACATTGAGAGAAATAGGGTTTCAGAATATTATTAGAGTTTCTGATGAGAACGTGATACAAAGATGAAAGATTTATATATGATTAATATATATTATAATAATTATAAGTAAACGTTTGATTTTCTTTTTTTTTTTTTTTTAAATTCAACCGCTACCGCCCGCAACCGCAAATGCTTGCGGGAAGGAGCTTTTGAAATTTAGCGATTTCGAGCGGTTCGAAGCGGTACGGAGCGGTTTCTATGATTGGTACCAACCGCTAACAACCGCAACCGACCGCTAGTAACCGCTAGGAGGGTGCTAGCGGGAGAACCAATCAAGCCCTTAATCTCCATGTTTGATCACTCAAAACTCAAAGGTGTTACATTATAGTCTGTTTTAGTAAATCCCGTAGTACTTATTAAAAACCTCACAGTTTGTCTTCTCTGATTGATTTACTGAGAGCCTATGCTTGCTTTACCCGGCGAGTTAGGAGACCGAGCCAAGCTAAAGCTACTAGAGCAGCCACTAAGCTTTGAAGCTGACCTACGGTTTCTCACCAGTGGAACCAGTGACTGCACCACATCTGCCATTAAGGGTCTGTAGTCAGCTTCTGCTTGAACACACATTGCTGCTATTGCTGCAACTTGAACAACTTCTTTTGTTGAGTATTGTCCTTCGAGTGTTGGATCCATTATGTCTACCACTTTCTCTCTATCAGCCAATTGAGGCAAAGCCTGGAGATAGGAAAAGTTAAATTATTAGAGCAAAGACGAGAAGAAATGACATGAGAAGTTTGTGAAAGGAAAGCATACCCAAGAGACAAGTACACCTTCTCCTGAAGCTCTCTTCATATCTACTGGAACTCTACCGGTTAGTAACTCTAACAGGACAACACCGTAGCTATAAACATCCGATTTTGTTGTCAAGTGACCGGTTAAAGCGTACCTGACAGAAGATATTGAAAATATTGGTATTAGTAGCCAACCCATCAAAGTTAACTGATGAAAGGAAGAATAAAGAGATGATTGAGTGAAAAACATACTCAGGAGCTACATATCCTTGTGTGCTTAATACACGGGTAGAAACGTGTCCTCCAGCTTTATCTGATCCGACTTTAGCCAATCCGAAATCTGAAACTTTGGCATTGAAGTTTCTGTCCAGCAGAATATTGCTGCTCTTAAAGTCTCTATGAATCACTGGGGGTGATACTTGTTCATGGAGATATTCCAAACCTTTTGCAGCTTCCACAGCTATCCTCATCCGAGTTTCCCAATCTAATCTCACTGGGACAGAACCAGACCCTAAATGCAAAAAAAAAATATAAGCCTCTATGAAATACACAACAAGTTCACCAATTGGTAATTAAAATACACTATCTAGGATTAATGTTCAAATTGCTATCACCCAAAGGATATGCATAGAAAGAAAGAGTAAAATTTGGAGTCTACTCCATTCAATTCTAGAGAACAACCTCTAACACGCCGCAGCTTCTAACATTACTGGAAAACAGACTTACTGTTGGTACGATACAGGTGTTCTTGCAGACCGCCATTTGCCATGAACTCATACACAAGCAGCTTATGACTATTGTCTGAGCAATAACCAAGAAGTGCCAACAAGTAAGGTGAACGCAGACGACTCAGTAACTCAACCTGTCACCAGATACAAAAATTGATCAATCAAGTAATCAAAACTCTGCAAACAACAATATGTCCTTAAGATTGAAAAATAAAGATCAATTACTAAGCTAAAAATAATCAAACCTCCATCTTGAATTCTTCTTCCCCTTGCTTTCCTGCATGATCCATGAACTTAATAGCAACTTTTCTTCCATCATTAAGCACACCGCGATAAACTAACCCAAACCCACCATGCCCAACCACATTAGACTTGCTAAATCCACCAGTTGCTGAATGCAATTGCTTAAAGGTGAAAATTTGCAACCCATTGTCAGTAACATCTTGTACTTTTTGACAATCGCCTTTCTCCTCGCAATCAAACCCTAAAAACAATTACCCAGAATATAAATCGAACCCTAATTGAAAAATCATTTACCAAACATTCCTTAATTAGAACCAATTTTAGTATCAGGCGAAAGCAGAGAGCGTGAGAACAAGAAATGCAGGTAAAGATAAGAACAAGTGTAAATTGTTGAGCTTACTCTTGCTAATTCTGTGACGCTTAGAAACTTTGTTACGAATATAGCAGTAGTAGCTAAAAGCGACGAACAGAGAAGATAAAGCAAGACAAGCAAGAACAACAATGGCTACTAGTGCAGCACGTTCTTTCTTTTGGTATGCTTCGTCTGTCTCCATTTTTGTTTCTCCCCCAAAGGTAAAAAGAAGCCTTCTTTTACCAGTTTCCAGAAATGGGAAAAAAAAGGAAAATGTGAAAACCCTAGAAATTGCCACACAAGAGGAAGAGGAGATGGAATTGAAACAGTAGAGGAATAATTTTAAAGCATCGGGTTTCGTGAAAATTTGTTTTTGATTTTGTGTGAGTGTGTGTGTGTGTGTGAATGTCAGCTTCACTGACTCACTGTACTGTTTTTGTTTTGTGGCGCGGGGAGTAGTTGCAGACTTGCAGCCAACTTTGCTAATTTGTCCCTTTAGTTTCATTTTGTACAACTTAGAGCATGATTAACGGTGGTTTCTTAGATAGTTCTTAAGTTGAAAATTGAATTAAATTAAATTGAAAATAGTGTATAAAACTAAGGAACGTTCCTTAGTTAAGAGACATTTTTAGAGTTAAGAGCTGTCCACGTGGCACTTTGCACCTTGTCTCTCTCTTCCTCTCCTCTCTCTCTTTTATGCGTTTCTTCACCAATGTTCTGGGTGTGAAATTGGGAACGAGAGAGATGGGTCTTTGAAACTACTGTGTAAGAAAGAAGTTGTCTTGGTTAATTCCATTGTTGAACAGCCTTTGCCTAGATTAAGCAGTTTTTTCGATTCCGTGAAATCTGAATTGCTTAGAACTGATTTGGTTAGTTTGGTCAAGGGACTAGATGATTCTGGGCATTGGGAAAGAGCTGTTTTTTTTTGAATGGTTAGTTTTGTCTTCGAATTATGGAGCTTTGAAGCTAGATCATCAAGTTATCGAAATCTTAGTTAGGATTTTAGGTAGAGAATCTCAATACTCTGTTGCAGCTAAGTTGCTCGACAAAATTCCTCTACAAGACTATATGCTCGATGTTCGTGCTTACACGCGATCTTACATGCGTATTCACGGACAGGGAAGTATGAAAAGGCTATCGATTTGTTTGAGAGGATGAGAGATGGGTCCTTCACCTACTTTGGATGTTGTTCAGATTTGTCATTTCATGGGAGTGATTCATCGTGATCTTAAGCCTGAGAATTTCTTGCTCGCTAGCACTGATGAGAATGCTATGCTTAAAGCTACTGATTTTGGATTGTCTGTCTTCATTGAAGAATGTGAGTTTGTGTAATCAAATCCTCTTCTTCTGCTTTTTAGTTATATATACAAATGTTTTAGATTTCTTAAGATTTTGGAGTTGTGTTGTGGATATAGCTTGAAGCTCTGTTCTTTTGTATCATAGCTTGAAACTTTGATGCGATATAACTAAAGAGATGATGAGACCAGATTTTTTAGTGAATCCCATTGGTCTTTTCAGAATTCCGATAGACTTCATCTTTGTCAAATTGATCCTATTATGTCAGTTTCATCATCTGTTTTGTTGCAAACACGCTTCGTTTCACACTAAAGGACTGTTTTGGTGTTACCTTACATGTTCTCTTTGGAATTGGAGCTCAAATTCGAATTGTCTCTTTACTTTGCTTCAATTTTAGTTAGAGATGGTACTGATGCAGAGAAGAAACCACGTCAGTCCTTGAGAGATGCTGCGCCATTGGAACCTGATGCTCATGGTTCGAGAAAAGACAGTGAAAAGAAGCACTCTGAACATCACCAAACAAGCTTCCAATCTATCTCAAGTGCCTCGTTCTAGACCACATTCTCTGGTTCCAAAACCTTTCATTATTGTTTTCCATCTGATAACGTTCTTTCTGTTATTGTCCTAGTAGATGTGTGGTCATAGGATGTCTTGGAAGTTTTTGGTCTGCTGGAATGTTATTTTTACTGGCTAAAAGACACAAATCTAAACTATCGCAGACAGAACGAGAGAAACTGGAGGAGCAATATGCATTCAGAAAGACATGAGAGACCAGCAATGGGAAGAGACAGAGTGTGGAACAGAGATGATGAAAGAGGCGCGGGAAGCAGACAGAGTTATCGAGCTGATAGAGACAAATTCAACGGCAATGGGCGAAGTGGGTTTAGCGGAAGCTGGACAAGGAATGAGAAGAAATGGGACCATGACTTGTTCGAGGAGGCGAACAAGAGTCCAGCCAAAGACACTGAGGAAGAACAGGTTGCAAATGTTGAATTTTTGTTGGCTTCTTAAAGCTGCATATGTTATGGTTCTTGGTATGGATTCGCCTCTAATTTTATAATGTCTTAGTTTGCAAGTGTAGAAGATGATGTCTGAGTTTATATAATGAAACTCTCGTATGTTTTTTTCCAAAGAATGCACCATCGGTATAAACGTCAAAGATATTAAACTCTAAACCAGACTCTTGTTCTTTATATTCAAAGTAGTGTCTCTTGTTTTTTATCCAATTCAAATATTTTCTACTTAATCCAAGTAATTTACTCTAAACTCTTGTTCTTTTTTACCACAAAATTCAAATCTTTTCTACTAAATCCAACTCTTGTTCTTTATATTCGAAATATGATAGTAGAAGATCAAATATTTATATTCAAAATATGATACTTAATCCAAAATTTCTCCAAAAATTTCCGGAAATCAAATTTAAAAGTATTGTGTTTTATGTCATGTATATGTATGTTATAAATTGTATCTCATATATGTTTTAAATTTTTTAATTTACAACAATTATTAAGTTTTCTAAAATTAAAAATTTTATTTTTATATTTATATTTTTTTCTTCTAAAAACCACATGTTAAGAACCTACCATTGGAGACACAAAAATCTTAAAACAAAAATACAATCTCTTAACTATAACTTTTACACATTTAATACTAAAATATTTCTAAGAGCTAAAATTAAGAGCCTATTGATAACGTGCGTAAAACTATCAAGGCCCAAAATTAGATATTATCCAGCCCAAAAAAATATTATGTTAGAAGGTTTATTTGGCTGCTACTATTTCTCTTGACAGTTTTCTACTATGATTTCTGTTTGAATCAATACATATACAGAGACTAAAGAGATCACTTGATCAACTCATTTATTGGCAATTGATCAATTCCAATCTAAAATTTCTTTAAGAACATATATTCGTGGTAGATAAAGTTTACGAGACATGACGAAGAGAAAGAGAAGAGATTATTTATAATGACAAAAGGTTCCAAACAACATTGTTTTTCTTACATCACGAAAGATTCCTCGTGACAAACTACTATGCCATTAAACCAAACCAAACCAAACCATACATAGATATAGTTTCTAGGATATGGTAGAGCATCTGGACTGAAGAGAAACTGCGATTAGCTTTTGTTTTTACCTTCAAGAGCTTTGTTCTGCACTTCTACTTCTTTCCACGGAGTTTAGCACCAAGTGCCCTCTCTAGCTTAGAGAGGATCTGTTGATTCGGAATTGCTTTACCTGACTCGTATTCTTGGATCACTTGTGGCTTCTCATTGATCAGCTACAGAATCAAAAACATACAATATCACCATCATGAATTCAATTACTAACCAAAGGCAGCAAAAAAGAAAGAGAAAGATACAAAGAAAAGAGAAAGTACTTGGGCAAGTTGGGACTGAGTCAGCTTCTTCTCCCCTCTGGCTTGCATGATGGCTTTCTTCAACTCAGTGGGCACACGATCATCTGATTTCAAAACCGTACACAAACAAGGTGTTAAAAGATAACCAACATTACTAATCAAATCTAACACACATATGGAAAACACTGTGATTTGCGGATAAACAATACATATAGCTTCAGCTCGTGGCATCTCAATAACCCATCAACAAATAAAGACTTCCACTCACTAATACAATTCAAACTGAAGAAAACATTAATAACCCAAGAAAACAGACCCTAAGAACTGCCTTTATTGGACTGAGAATCTAGTTCACCCACAAGAATGACTGTATCCAAGGATATCGAGATAGATACTACCATTACTTTATCAATATATAAATCAGATTAATACCCCCTTGAGAAAGAGATTGAATAACTCACGAGATAAGTTCTCAGTGTCATCATCTAGCTTCTTTGTGTTCAAGGAGGTGCCGCTTGATGCAGCCTTGTTCGATCCAGCATTGACTACACCCAGCAGAAACAAAAACAAAAAAATCTCGTTAGATGATTACCACAGTAGAAAAATTCATAAGAACAAAAGAAATTTCACGAAAAGAGAAAAAAAGAAGATAGAAGGCATATTCAAATGTAAAAGCAGGAACATCAATCTGATACTAACAAGAATCAATAAGCAAAATCAGGCGAGTTGTTACTGCAGCAAACGAAATTCGAATCACGACAAGCGAAAACCCTAACACAGATCTCTTTCAAGACACCACAATAATCCAGTAACGGCGAAGGCAAATAACCCTAAACATGGGAACTACCACAGCGTAATAAAAATCATATAGATTCAGTGTCCAAATCTAGCCTAAACCAGAGGAAATCTTCTCACACAAGTTAAGATACGAAGGTAGATCAGAGAGACGGAGATCGAGAAAAAAGAAAACAAACATTTGCGAACGGTCTCAATATCGGCGCCGCTTCGACGAGCGGCGTTGACAGTCTTCTCGTCGCGCTTAGCGGCAGAGTTAGGAGCTTTCTTACGGATCACAACTGGTTCCCAATCCTGAGTAATCGGTCCAATTCCTGCCATGGCTTCTCTTTAGAGTTTTGTTTCTTCAATCGCTTTCTAGGTTTTCTTCGTTCCTGGATAATAACAAGAAATGAGAGAGAGAAGAAGATAAAATAGACCCAATCCGTGATCGTTTTTGCGATTTATATATTTTTGATTTTTTCATAAGGAGTATTTTAGTAAATTAGTTAAGATTGAAGGGCCCAGGGAAATATTATTTTTAACTTCTCAGCCAAAAAATATCTTGCCACGGAGGCAGACTGACTTTGTCGAACGATCATTTTCGTCCAAATTAGATCATATAGGCCGAGAAAGGCCTTTTGGTCTTTGGAATTTTGACTATGTTTTTAGATGGACCAAATGTTATTGAAGAGTCAGAACGAATGTTGGGCTTTTCAAAGTTTTGAAGTCCGCTAATAGATGAATGACCATAAATAGTTAAATACCAAAAGTCACCTAATGTTTGTCCATTTTTATTTTTTTAAATCTTCAACTGGCTATGTATTTGCAATCGCTTAAAATAAAATTATAACCTTGTGGCAATCAGTTGTAATTTTGAGTTATTAAATTTTAAAGTCAAATTAATATTTAATTTAATTTAATTATGATTTTAAATAAATTTTTAATGTATTTTTTTGCTATTTGGAAATCAATATTGAAAATCTCATACATATTAGAAAAAAAATCTATTACAGATATTATTAAGTCATAATCTAATAGACATCATAACAAAATCTTTGATGTTTGTTTTTTTTAGACAAAGAAGTTTATAGTTTTAAATAAACTCGTTAATCTTGTATTTTTCCATATACAAAAATCCCATTAATTTTTTAAAAATCATTCTAATAACTTGGTACGACAGTGCATCAATTTGTACTTGTAAGTTGGCACAAAAAAAAAAAAAAAAAGAGAGTTGTAGTTTGTTCTCGTCCTAAGTGGAATTAAAAGAGTTGGCTCTGGTGACTCCATCTCAGTATGGAAAGACCCATGGATTCCAGCTCAATTTCCGAAACCAGCAAAAAGTAATGGTTCAATTTCGGAACCTTTACTCCAAGTTAAAAATCTTATCGATACAAGGACAAACTCCTGGAATATGGATAGTTTAAACGCTATTGTGGATCCGGAAGATGTTCAATTGATTAATGCTATACCCCTGGGGAAGTTGTCAAACCCAGATGTTTTGGGATGGCATTTCACAAAATCTGGTAAATATACTGTTAAATCAGGGTATCATATAGCCCGTCTTAATAATCCAAATGATTCTTCTATCTGTTGTTTCGGACCAGATATTACACCACTAAAAGCATTTACGTGGAAGATAAAGTGTCCTCCTAAATTGAGGCATTTTATGTGGCAGGCTTTAAATGGATGTGTTTCGGTTACATCAAACCTCCGAAAGCGTGGGGTTAATTGCGATGTAGGTTGTGACAGATGTGGGGATACTGAAGAGACAATTAACCATGTTCTTTTTGAATGTCCGCCTGCACGCCAAACTTGGGCTTTATCACAGATTCCAATGCCCCCCGCCGTTTTTCCCTCAGGTTCACTATATGCAAACATGGATTATTTATTTTGGCGAATATCATCGGATGTTTATAAAGCTACGTTTCCATGGATAATTTGGTATTTATGGAAAGCACGAAATGATAAAATTTATAATAATGTAGATCAAAGTCCAGAAGAGATTTTGCGGTTAGCAGAGAATGAAGAGCAAGCTTGGCAGTTAGCTCAGGTGGAAATACCGGATGAAGTTGTAGACTCGGTAGTGGGGAATACACACTCACATTCCATGATTGACGAGCAAAGGCAGGTTGGAAATGGGTTTCAGTGTTATGTAGATGGGTCTTGGAAGGAGAGTGATCGATTCTCCGGAGTAGGTTGGTTTTGTTCTAACCCGAATGATGGAACGCAAGACATGGGAGCTGCTAATCTTCGAAGAAGCTTAACCTCACTTCACACAGAGGTCGAAGCATTAATTTGGGCGATGAGATGTATGATCGGCCAAGACAAGAGAGAAGTAGCTTTTTTTACAGACTGCTCAGACCTGGTGAAGATGGTGTCTTCCCCGCAAGAGTGGCCAGCGTTCGCAACATACTTAGAGGCGATTCAGAGCGACAAGGAAGAGTTCGACGTATTCTCATTATCTTTAGTTTCTCGAAATGCGAATATGAAAGCGGATAAACTGGCACGTAATGTTCGTATCCAGCCGCAACTTATTACCTATGTAAACAATTTACCACGACATTTGCTCATTTGAGCCAATTTAATATAGCTGTTGACAAAAAAAAAAAAAAGTGGAATTGATTCGAACTGGAAAAGCAAAGGGGTTGAAATTGACTATTTTGAAAGGTAAGGGGAGAGAGAGTGAGACTTGCGTTTTTAAACGACTCACAAAGCAAAAGAAAAAGAAGAAGATCAACTTCTGATTCCTCCGACTAACAACCATTTCCATCATCGTTTTCCTCCGATACCTTTCGTCGTCGCCGTTCTTCGGATTTTCACTCTTCTGCTCGAAAGGTCTCTCTCATTCCTTCTCTCAATCCATAACGAGCAACTTCTCTTCTCTATATCACTCCTGCTTCTAGTTTAGCTGCTCATCTTCTTCTACTTGCTGCAACAACTCGAAATCGTCATTTCTATTGTTCTAGTATGTTTTCTAATCGTGTTTTTGTTTCTTCTGGTTGTAATATTCTTCAATGAATTTGGTTCAATTCAATTCGATTCGATATATGATTCAGTTTTGCAAAATCACTGACCTAAATTCTATTCCTGGCAATACTTTTTCTTCATGTGAGTGAGCTCAATCAGGTAGATGCAGTGATTTTGAATTCATTATGTAAGAAAAGATTAATCATTCACTTGTTAGAGTTCATCAAAAACACTACTTTGTCAGAGCTCAGAGCTCCTGGATTTGTAATATTTGTTTTCAGATGTGTTTGTTTAGATTCTGGAGCTCTATATGAAGTTAAAGTTGTTTTCTTTTCTCTTCTTTCAGGGCAGTGCTTGAGAATCACTGAAGAAGGTGATCGCTGGTCCTTAAAGTCGAAGCAGATACCAGTTGATAACTCAAAGCCGTTTTGCTCAAAGTTAGGAGCTCAAGAACTTGGAGCTGTCTTCTTTTTGTATCATGCCATATTTTATTCAGAGGCTTTTCAATACTTGCAAGTCATCTCTCTCACCTAATGGTCCTGTGTCTGAGGAGGCCTTAGACAAGGTTCGCAATGTGTTGGGTAGGACTACATTATTGATCCACTTTCTTGCAACTTTTCTTCCCTTCTCTTTCTGCAATCTTTCTTGCTCCATAATGTTCTTTAGGCACACTGTGTTACTCGTGATGTCTGAATTGCAGTGCTATATTGGGTATCGCACTTCGACAACTGTTGTTTATCGGGTCTAATACATGATAGTATTTTTTTCAGAAAAAATCAAGCCGTCTGATGTTGGTCTTGAACAGGAAGCTCAGTTGGTGCGTAACTGGCCTGGTCCCGGGAATGAGCGTAATGGAAACCATAATTCTCTGCCAGCAATAAAATACCTTCAGTTACATGAGTGTGACAGCTTCTCGGTGAGCAAATTTCTTTCAGGATTGGTATCGCCTGTAGACCTTTAAAAGTTTGAGTATGCCTTCATCGATATAGTCAAAAATTGGCTATGAAATCTTAAGATTAGGTGGATAGGCATAAAAATTTATGTTAAGCTGATAATGTTTAGTACAACCACCTAAGCTAGATTTCTCATGTTGAAACCAGATTTCTCATCATCACTAATCTTTTTGGTTCCTGGTATGCTCATTGCTCTAAGCCATGAGCAGCACGCTTCACATGTTTACTGCAGTTAAACAAAGTTCTGAAATGCAAAATTCTTGCTTTTCTTGTCTGCTTATTATGCTTTGATCATTATTTTGTCAGATTGGAATTTTCTGCATGCCACCTGGGTCTGTCATACCACTTCATAATCATCCAGGCATGACAGTGCTAAGCAAGCTTGTTTATGGTTCTATGCACGTGAAGTCGTATGATTGGGCTGAGCCTGACCAATCAGAGCTAGACGATCCATTACAAGGTAAAAGTGACTTGTAAACTGCCCCAGTATAACTTCCGTGCTATATGAATAATGAGTAATCTGTTGTTCCCTTTTACTCATAGCAAGACCCGCGAAGCTAGTCAAGGATACTGATATGACTGCCCCTTGCCCAGCAACCACTCTATATCCAACAACCGGTGGCAACATTCATTGTTTCAAAGCCATTACTCATTGTGCAATCTTCGACATCTTATCTCCTCCATACTCTTCTACTCATGGCAGACACTGCAACTACTTCCGAAAATCCCCAATGCTAGACTTACCTGGTAAAACATCACAAACTTCACGAAGATACCACTTTATAACTTCATAGAAATGCTACTATATATCTGAATGTTACAACTTTCATAACACTTTGTTGAGGAATCATGGTTTAAACCACTAGCTTCTTGATTAGATAAAAGGTCTCATAATCTCATGGAACATGCTCATTATGTGTATTGCTAAACAGATTTGGTTTCTGACTATCATTTTTTTTACTATGGCAATGTTAATGACATCATATGTGAAACCAGGTGAGATTGAAGTGATGAATGGAGAAGTGATCTCAAATGTGACATGGCTCGAAGAGTATCAACCTCCAGATAACTTTGTGATATGGAGAGTTCCGTACAGAGGTCCAGTGATTAGAAAATGAGAATTACAAAAGAGGTTTAAGCATATAAGAAAAGAGCAGAAAGAGAAAGGAGCTTATCATCAGGAGAATAATTGGAGAGGCTGGCTGCATAATGGTCGAGGTTCTTACATAATTGTGACCACATTAAGTTTCAGCCTATGTCGTTGTATGATAATGTTTACTACATACAACTTTATGATTACTTCACTAGTTTAATATTATAATATTTTTTTTCCTATTTTTATATGCAGCTAGCTGCATAAACAATTGCTCATAAACAGTGTTAATTTAGTTATCATAAATTTTGTTTCCATTAATCTTTTGACTTTCCTTATTTCATTTCTTGTCTATACCATCGCAACTTTGCATTCTTCTTATGAATGAAGTGTTCGCCATGAGAGCTACGAGACCTTCTAGATTATTTAAAGTGTTAACCGTTGGTGAGCCATTTTACTAAGAGATGAAGATTAAGACCATACAAGTACCATCATAACTCTCGATCAATGCTTATTGGCTATTGCAACAAATTAATAAATAGTCTTTGTTTAAAAAGAAAAACATTAAAAGGTGCATAGCAGTATGTTTCCTCCACAAAAGCATCAAACCACATTCACCAGTTCGATGTTTCATAGTAGTAGTACACGATATGAAAGGGCTCAAAAATGTAATAAGAACTACGATAGAAAATAAAACATAAATCTTACTCAATTTAAAAAAGCAAACACTCAAGATCTTCCTTTGCCTCATTTTCTAAGCACACTCTTCTTCCTCTTCGGCTTCAATCCACCTCCAGACTCGTCCTTTGCAATCTTTGTGGTCTTTTTCGCCTTTAACCCATCCTTACTCTTCACAACATCTGATTTCATCATCCCCTTCTCAACATCGGGTTTCAACTTCCCTTTGGCAGCTTTCTTCATCGGCTTCACACTCTCTGCAACCTCACTTACCTCCTCCTTCCTCTTCTTCATCTTCTTCTCCTCCTTTTCCTCAGACTCAACAATCACATTATTATCCTCATCACCACCAATCTCATCCTCATCAAGCACCTCAGCTACATTACTATCCATATATCTAACCTCATGAATCCTACCTTTCTTCTTCTTTCCCTTCCCTGTAACACTCTTCTCTCCACCATCAGCAGCTTCAACTTCACCTTCCTTCTCCTCCTTAACAACACTCTTTCCGGTTGCAAAAGCATCGATTTTGAGCTTCAAATCAGGTACAGACTGATATATAGGCAATGCTAAACTCTCAGACAACTTCAAATGCAAAGACCTAACGTATTTCCACTTATTAGGCAATAACTCAACTACTCCATTCAATGTCGCCATCACATTCTCAATAATTTCGTTAAGTTCCATAGACAATTTCCCAACCTTAATGACACTACACGTCCCAGTCCTAATGAAGAACATAGCAGATCCACAAGCTTTCTCTATCTGCTGTTTCCAGTTCTTGTGCTTCAAATCAATCGCCACCGGAATCTTCTTGCTCGTAAAGAACTTCTTCCCAATCACCCTCGGAAGCAGAGGAATGATCCTCCGATCAGCGAAAAACATGTCGTAAGAGTCGCAGAGTTTCCTCTTCGCTTCGAACGCCTTGTAATCAGTCTTCAGCTTCGAAAGCTTAATAACCTTAGTGATCGGAATATTCTCAGATTTGATCTTCTTCATCACATCAGCTTTGGTGAGACCACTTTTAGGTCTGTCGTCGATGATGAGACAAAGCTCCGGCGAATCTTCCGTCGGGTTGATAAGAGGATGAGGTAAAGGGATACGGTAAGCATTCGTACGGCTTGTCTGTGGAATCTTCTTCAGAGAAGCGATTAGGTAGACGAGCTCGTCTTGCTCTAGAAGTTGAGGCTTCTCTGTCTTTGATTTCTCGCTTCTCCACTTGGTAAGACCATTGAGGGCGCTACCCACCGTATAGGGACTCACTCTTGAAGTCTGCGAAGCGGGAACAAGTTGCTGCTCCGTCTGCTCCTGCGGCGGCGGCGAAACTGCGGTGGTCATTGAGAGACTTGGGGGAAGAGAGAGAGAGAGAGATAGAGATTAGGGTTTAAGGAGGAGGGAGATAAAAGAAGGATTTATCGCTGATATATTTTTCCTGGGTATTAATGGGCCTAACTTTATTATGGCCCGTAATAATTTTCTTATAAATATGGGCTGGACTTTCTTCAAGTGTATCTTTGACTTCGAAGGTTTTTTTAACATCTTCTATATCAAATATTTTTTCTTTTTTACCAACTAAAAATTTAAAATATCCACTATTTTTTTTATTAACTAAAAATTACTATATTAAAACATAAATATTGATTCAAAATTATGATTTTCCGAATTCAAAAATAAGAAACAATATCCTAATGTTTACATGAGTCAACCTTTCACTCTCTGTTAAACATAATTAATACTAAGATGATTATTTGATCATTAAAATTATTAAAATATATCGTTTGTAACAGCTAACTACTGATTAAAAGTTTGGTAGTATATGTTTCGTTTGATATGAAAAGAGCACTCATGTTTATAAACACTGTAGGGAAGGAACATAAGCTTCGTTTTACTATCGGCTCTGCGTTGTGAGATTCAAGTCTCCATGCGTGTGAAGCTCCTATGGCTTTTATCGAATTGTTCAGACATCGTTCTCTTTAGTCGCTACTCTCTTTGGTTTCGCTACTTGGAAGCAACTCAAACCACAACAACTTCCTCTACTCATTTATTCTTTCTTTTTTTTTTTACTCTGGTTTTATAAGCTCAAAAGTCCAAAAAAAAGTTTGAACTTTTTAAGTGATTCGAATTATAGAGTGCAGCATATTACAAATATTCAAAACTATTACGAAAGTGGAGCCCTTGTGAGAAGGACCCCATATGAATTGTGTTAATGCGCAACGAAATAATTTTTTATAATCAAAATGAAATATTATTAATATACAGTGACTGCACTGTTTACAATAAAGCCTTTGCCTTTATTTTTCTACACCTGAAAATTGAATCGTTATGACCTTTTTTAAATTATGTTTTTTTGTCCCCTAACAAATTCAAATTCTCTTATGTTTGAAACTGCAAACTCAACTGAAACATTTATTTTATAGTCATATACTAGCAATTTCCATCTGCATTGGATACCAAATATAAACATCATCAAGCTATATATATATGTAGATGAGATCATGCTATATAAACAAAAGCCAAAATAGTTGTTGAAAAAAAAAAGATTTTCCTTTTATGTATAGAAAAAAGAAACACTTTTAATTGCTCAAAGGAGGGAGCTTTCAGTTTCCTAAATTCAAAACTCTCTTTGTCTTTGTCTCTCTCTCTCTCTCTCTCTCTCTATCTTTGCAACGGCTCTCTCTGTCGTCGTCATTTCAATTCAAATTCCGCTTATCTCATTTTTTTTAAAACGTCCCTTGCTGCTTCTACACTTCTTTTAGCTCACTACCCAAATCCCTAATCTCAAATGCCAAGAACCCCCAATCTCAAATCTGTTTTGAGCTTTCCTGATCTTACCCATTTCGCAAAACCCCCCAAAATCTTCTCTTTGTTTTGTTCGTCTGATTTGATAAATCTCATTTTGTGTTTTCTTTTTTTGTAACCTTCTTCAGTGCGATTGTGAGCTGAGAGAGATAAAGTGGAGAGCTTTTGGTCGATTTTAGGGCTAGATCTCCCAACGCCACAATTTTTTCGATTTGGCTCAATCCAATTTGGTTCTCATTTTGGTGAATTTGGTAAATCTTCCACAAGGGTTTCTGAAATTTACACTTAATGGATGGATCCATAAGTAAGAAATGAGATCTTTGACATCCTGAGAAACTGAGAGGTAAACAATTTTCATTCCTCATCTAATTCACTTTAATCTTCCGCTATATCAATCAGATTTTCTATATCATTCATTATAATAAAATGACAAAATTTAATGAAATGAAATCGATTCAATTGTTTTGATCCATAGGTAAATTAAGATGGACGTTGTTGAGAGAAAAAGACCAAGAGGAGCGTTTCTAAATCTCTTTGATTGGCATGGAAAATCCAGGAAGAAGCTTTTCTCTTCCAATATCTCCCAACTCTCTGGTATGTCTTCTTTCTTTTGTTTTCTATAGAGTCTAGACTATAGATACAAATGTTTGTTCAATAATCCAAAGTTTCTTCTTTTAAAACAGAAGAATCTAAGCAAGCAAAAGAGAATGTTCAAAACCCCTCTATTACGCGGCATTCTGTTGTAAGGCTTTTCTCCTCAACATCATTTTCCTTGTTTGATGCAATGTTTTGTGTTGTGTTAGTTTAGTGAATGACATGAACTTTTTGTGTTCTTTGCTGTGATCTGTTGTTTTAAACAGTTTGAGGTCGATCAGAGTGTAAAGAACCCAACTTACAACCCGAGAAGTGACTCGAGCTGTTGTGCTTCATCTGTAACCAGTGATGATGGAAATGTGGTTAGAGCAAGTGTGGTAGCGAGGCTCATGGGTTTAGAGGGTTTACCACTACCAAATGTTTTGGAACAACGGGTTAATCCTGATCTGGATCCATACTTTCTAAGATCCTCGCGCCAAGCAAACACTTGGGATGCTAATGTTGATCGTCAGAGTGACTTCGATGGTGTTTCTTGGGATCATTTGGATTCAAGAACCAGTAAAGGGCCGCGTAAGAGGATGATTGAGCGATTTCAAACCGAAACTTTACCCCCAAGATCAGCTAAACCGATCTCTGTCACTCACAATAAGCTCTTGTCTCCAATAAGGAATCCTGGATTTGTTCCATCTAGGAACCCTGCTTATGTAATGGAAGCTGCTTCAAGAATGATTGAGCAAAGTCCACGGATGATTGCAAGAACAAGGGTGGTGTCATCGTCTGATTCTTCTTCGCCAGTTCCATTGAGGATTCGAGATTTGAAAGAGAAACTAGAAGCTGCGCAGAAAGCGTCAACTTCAGTTCTTCCTCAACTCTCTAATGATACTCGCAACAGTAGGTACTTAAGAGGAGATCAAAACGAGAAGAAAACTACAGTATTGGGGAAAAGCAGTTGTGGTGGGTTGAAAAGTGAAGTGAAGCCACCTTCTTTCTCTGCGCAAGCAAAAGCCAGCAGTAATCAGAAGCAAGACAGCTTAACAACGTCCTCAAGTGGCAACAAGAGGATGTCTTCGGGACAAAAGGAGAAAATGGAAGCTAAGAATAGGGCGGTTAAAAGCCAAAACAGTATCAAAGGATCTTCCTCGAGCACCGGAAAGAATGTGCTTAAGCAGAACCACCAGAAGCAGAACTGCAGAGACAATCAGCAATCCAGGAGAGTAATAAACAAAGTAGTAAATAAGAATCTTGTGGAAAGTGGATCTATATCAAAAAGCCCGGGATTTACTATGACATCAGCAGAAAAACCGACTTCTTTACCTTTATCCCGCAAAAAGAACCTTCCTCGAAACAAAAAACCGCGGAATGGAGTGCAAGAATCGGGAATTTATGAAGATAAGAGGATCAAAAGGGGTGAAAAGTCGATAAAATGTAACATTTCCATTGATGGCGACTCGAGTACGAGTAAGGATGATAAGAAAAGGGACATGGATGTGATATCTTTCACTTTCTCATCTTCGATCAAAGGTTTATCATCTCATCCACAAGGAACCAAACAAGATGCAGAATCTGCTATAAGGTTCAATGTGATAGGTGGTGATTCTTTAAATGCACTTTTGGAGCAGAAGCTCAGGGAATTGACCTCAAAGATTGAATCATCTAGCTCTAGCTTGATCCAAGAAGAGTCTTTGAGTTCCCTTTCAAAGGATAGAGCGAATGGGATGATTTCATCGCCTTCCAAATATAGCGAATTGACTCAAAGCAGTCTTGATAGAGTTTTAACAGAGAGTGAATCTGTTTCTGACTGCACTTCATTCTATAACAACCAGAAAGTCCAGGTTAGTTTCGATAAACTGCAGCTTCACTATTCTATTATATCTAATGCTTATCCAGCTTACCAGTCTCTGAGAAAATGTTGTCTTTTTTCCTTAAAGAAGAAGAAGACGATGCAGGGAGAAGAACAAGAAGTTAGCAGCATCACCACGCTTACAGAAGCCGATGATTTTGCACTCTCCTGCAGCAAGAGTATCTCAGATTGCAGACATGACAGAGAATATGGTATGGTGAATTTGTGTCTGGATTTTCTTCCTTTTTTTGGACCAGGTTTTGAATTCACACCAAATAGTCTTAGTAGGGAATAGGTTTGATTTGCAGCTAAATAAGCTTAATGTTGTTGGTTTTTTCAGGCATGAAACAGAGTTCATCAGATCAAGAGCTCACTTGGGTTTCATCAAACGAGTCCCAGCACACCTTAGATGAAACAGAATCAGCAACACTCGATTGGGAGCTCGAGTACATAACCGAGATCCTCAACTCTGGGCAGCTCATGTTTCAAGACTTTGCCTCAGGGACAACCACTAATGAATCATTACTACCCTCGAGCCTCTTTGACGAAATGGAACGCTCTAGAGGAGCTGCGATGTCAATGAAGACAGAGAGAAAGGCGCTTTTCGACTGTGTGAATCAGTGCTTAGCGGTGAAATTTGAAAGGATGTTAATTGGAAGCTGCAAAGGGATGATGATGTCAGGTGGGATTTTGTTGGAACATAGAGATTTGTTGGCTGAAGAAGTGAACAGGGAAGTAAAAGGGTTGAAGAAGATGAGAGAGATGATGATCGACGAGCTTGTGGATCATGACATGAGCTGTTTGGAAGGGAGATGGATTGGTTATGAAAGAGAGATGTTTGAGGAAGGCATAGACATGGAAGGAGAGATTGTTTCTGATTTGGTTGATGATTTAGTTAGTGATCTTTTCTCTATCAGTGTTCTTAAACGGTCGTTGTAACTGGTATTGTCTTCTGAAGAAGTTTCTTCTGGTTCTGAAAATGTCTGCATGAAGTGAAGTAAATCTGAATGATATACGGCGAAAGAAGAAGTGTCACTCTTTTCATTTAAATTGATCTAATGAAATACCCGAAACTGTTTCTTTTCATAACAGTCTACAATTATTTATTTTGGCATTTTGACATTTTAAAAATGATAGGAGCTGAGTGATATTTAATAGAAAGTCAAGGTGTCGGTGGCAAAATGACGAGGACACGAGCACTTCGGTTTCTCATTTTCGGCTTATAATTTCCTCATTAATTACCAAAAATAATCATTACCAGAGATAAAATTATAGATTGTGTTTCTTTTTTTTTCCTTGTCGACAAATGTTAATCCTTATTATTTCAATAATTTTAAAAAAATTCTAACGTTTGAAAAATATATTTCCTTAATAAATAGTAATATAGTGTTTGAGAAAATTTTATCCCAATAAAAATCACAATCTATTTAACTATTTTAATCATCAAAAACCTTTATGTCTATAATTAAACTAAAATGTTAATATTGAGAAATAGCTTTAAAAATATGTTAGGTTTGGTAAATAGTTGTGTTTTAACCGGGCCTTGTGGCCTAGTGGTAAAGGGGTCACAACTGTGACTTCCGCCACCAAGGTTCGAGGCACGGCCACTGACAGGTTTACATAGGGGAATTGCCAGCCTCGTGGGATTAGTCCTTGGGCCTAGGAAGCCTTTGGGAAACCCGCGGTTATTCAAAAAACAAAATAGTTGTATTTTGGTCCCAAAACAATTAAAAAAGGTTAATTGGATCAACGGGTTGCTTGTTTAAATTACACATCAATATTGATTTTTTTTTTTAAATTAGTTGGCTATCAGAATTATTCGAAGAATATTAACTTTGGCCAAACAAAAAAACATTATAACCGGGAAAAAATGAAAAGAAAGAAAAGGAATTAGATTCGATGATAATGTTCCACGTGCAATTTCTTTATTTTTTGAAACTTTCCTCCAAATCTTATTGACCTTGACGTGATCCACTTTTAATTAATTTTCTCTAAATTTATTATTACTAACTTTGCCATTAATTGCACCACAAATAGTCTTCATCAGTACGTCATTAGATTTTTAAATAACAGGTTCTGTTCCTCACATTTTAACCCTCTATTTCTTTTTCGATATATGGGATTGGTAGGATCATTTTTCTTTTTACATATGATGTCATTTCTTATTTGTTTTCAAAAGTAATTTCATTTTTTTTGTTAATAAGAAATCATAATAGTATGAAGGGCCAGTTCGGTATATCTAAATACCATACGCCACAAAAAAAAATCATTCTTTTGTAAAATTTTTTTTCCTAACATTACAAATTAAATAAAAATAATATAAAAACCATACTAAATCAAATAAAAGCAAAGTTCACATATTTTAACAAGTTTGCAAGCAGCCAAACGCACATAAAAAAATATGAATTAAATCATTGGGAAAAAATTTTGTAAACGTTTAGGGTTTTATTTTATTTTAAGCCAGTTTACTAATAAAATTTATTAACAACATATCAATTAATATTTTATTAATTTAAAGGTGTAAAGCCCAAAAAATATAATGAAAGGAAAGCCCAACAAATTTGTTTTTTTTTTCAAAAGCTTGTAATTCTTTCTTCTAGCATAAAAGATCTTAAAAAATTTCTAAAAAAATATGCCCTTTTTAATTTGATGTCCTAAGCCATGACTTCTTCACTTGATTGTGTCACGCGCCGGGTCTGATAGTAAAGAAAGTAGGATAACAATTTAAAAATCCGAATTTGATAAAAGTATTATTTATCAACTTATAAACAAAATCCTTCTTGTTTTTTCTTTTAGTAGTTTAATTAATCAAGGTCCTCTCCATTCATTGAATTAAGGGAATTAAAGACCATCACTTTTAACTAGATAAAAATATGTGTTGTCAAAAAACTAAAAAACATATGTAAGTAATTTTTCTTCTTCTTATAAATCTCTGTATTAAGTTATTAACAAAAAAAGTTAAAAAAAAAAACGTGTTGTCAAAATTAAAGACCATCACACTTTTAAATATATAAAAATATAAGTGTTGTCAAAAACCTAAAAAAAAACATATTTGTAAGTAATATTTCTTCATTAAGTTATTAAAAAAAAAGAAAGTAAAAAAGTGCATAAGATTACCACAACCAATCACAAAAAAAAAGAGAAGCGACGGTGGGGATTCACGAGGGATGACGTGGGATGACAGCTGTCAATCAGAGAGAGGTGCATCAACTTTATGACACGTGACTCATCAAGACGCACGTGACTGAGCCATCGTCACTTGGTCAGTCGTATCTCTTCTTCTTCATCTCCTTTCCCTCGTCTTCATCACTTTCCTAAAATCCCCATCACTCTCTTTCTTTTGGTCCCTCAAATCTGTATAAATTCCCAATTTCCCAGTTCATTTACGTACATACATACATATACTCTCTCTTTTTTTTTTTTTTTTGGTATGTGTGTGCGAAAACGCATAGCTCTTTTGTTGTCTTTGATCGGGATTTTGCTGAATCTGTCTCCGCTGTGAGATCGAGTTTGTTCTTTGATTTCGTATATTCTTCAATCGGAAGTTCGATCGGAGATTGAATGCGTGGATCTGATTACGGTGATTTTACAAAAACCCTTATCGAACTTTTCTCCTTTTTATTTTTTATATATGCTCTCTCTGGAATTGTGATTCGTTTATGTTTGTGACACTTTGTGCTGTGTATTGGATCGATCTTAGGTGGTTTTTCTAGATGGTCTTTGTTTTCGTATCGGTTTTAAGTTTGGTGGGTTCTGCGTTAGGATTGGTTTCGTGTTGAAACTGAGTTTCTGGGTACGATCGAACTTATGAACTGTTATTATTCGGGAGTAAATTTATGTAGAATTGTGGTATTTCGTACCCGAGGATTCTCATGGGATCTATGTTGGTTTGCTATATCCAATTAAGATCCTTAGGAGATTCTCTCGTTGACTTGAGAGTGAGATTGTATTATGAGAGTGAATTCTATTCTTCTTATTGGAATGCTGATGATTTCATTCTCTTCAACTCTTACTTTCCGCTTCTTGTTTTTTATTTTTAGCTGATAATGAATCAATTTATGCATCCAGTGAGATATTTGGTGGTCAATTTGGAAGCTTAGTTTGATCCTTTAGAACAACATATACCGTAGAATTTGAGGAGACCGAAATAGCTTTTAATTATTTGAGACAGACGCTGGTCTTTTGGATGCAAAAGCATCGAAACTCTAGTAGTGACTAATGCAGCCATCGTTGAAATGTAGAAAGTTTGAATTTCCTCTATTTGGCATTGCACTAGTTAGGTTTTCATGTGAGAAACTAAATGCAACTAGTTTGTTTCTTTAATGTGTATCTATGAATCCATTAAAATCTCCGCCTTCTTTGTTTCCATTTTTTCGAGTACTATCAAAGTTTTTATTTACCATTTTCCTTTCTGTGAACGCAGATCGAATGACCTCCAGCTTCAGGGCTACTGGTAAATGAAGTTTGCTTCTCAATATTTTGGTCTCTAGGATTTCCCTTTTTTTATCTACTGTTCCTTTTATGGGATAAGTAGTGGCTGATATAACTATAGACATCAAGGAAGTTGGCAATGGGAGAGACGGGAGATGATGCTGGGCCATCAGAGCAAGGACCTTCTAATCAAACCTGGTGGCCTTCAGAATTTGTGGAGAGATTTGGTTCTGTTTATCTGGGATCACAAGAAGAGACCTCTAGTACTAAAGACTCACCCAGAAATCTTGGGCTAGATGGGCTGCCATCTACTACTGCCTCTAATATTCTCTGGAGTACTGGTTCACTTTCTGAGCCCATCCCAAATGGCTTCTACTCTGTGATCCCGGTAAGCTACTTTTATTTTGATACTAGCTCTGTTCAATGATTTTTTAGTGACATTCATTTGAACTCTATTAACCTGTGTCAATAGTCTTCTTCTTTTTGCTTCCTTCGACAATGTTTTTATTTAAATTTTCTACAGGATAATAGATTGAAGCAACTATTTAATAGCATTCCTACATTGGAAGATCTTCATGCTCTGGGTGAGGAAGGTCTTAAGGCTGATGTGATTCTAGTTGATTTTCAGAAAGATAAGAAGCTTTTCAGGCAAAAGCAGTTGATTACCAAACTTGTCAGTGGATTGAACTCAAAGCCACCTACTATTATTAAGAAAATTGCTGGACTGGTAAGAGTATTTGACATACTTTGTATAAATGGTCAGAGTATCTCTGCGTCATATCTTTTATAATCTACATGCTCAAAATTTGTTTCCTGTATGAAATCACTAAATGACCATATTTTTCTCCATTTTAAAGTTGCATGCAATAATAGTGATCATAAATGGATAAAATTGAGGTAGGAAGAGTTGTGACTATCCATATTGACCTTAACGTCTTCTTTTTTTTTTCTAAATTGTGAAACTATCCCATATATTTCTGCTGTGGTTCAAGATAAACTTCCCCAACTATTTAGTTCTTGCCCTTAATCTTTCTCTAATTCCACTTGTGAATTGTGCTTGCTTGGAAAAAAGCGTAAAATTAGGAAATATGTATCTTTGTTTGCTTGCCCTTTTCTCTCGTATCCCTTATTAGAACATCAAATTGTTATAGATGCGGTAAGGCAAGCATTTTATAAATCTTTTTAACTCTCTTTAGTTATCTGAAAACCTTTGTTGAAATTGTCTGGCAGGTAGCAGATGTTTATAAGCAATCAACTCTGCAGAGTCCGGCAAAAACTACGCAATCATTTGAAAACTGTGGTATTCAACTGCTAGGACAGATCAAGCATGGTTCTTGTCGTCCTCGAGCAATCTTGTTCAAAGTTTTAGCGGATACTGTTGGTCTTCAAAGTAGGCTTGTAGTGGTAAGTGCTAAGTACCATACAAAAATGCGATCAGTGGTCTTGAGTATCACTCCACTTTTGCATGTGATTGATTAGGGTTGATTAATGTTATTCTCGAGAAAAAATATTCATACCACCTTTAAACATGCTTTACATTTTGGTTGATTTGTTTGATCAGGGTTTGCCAAGTGATGGAGCTGCTGAGAGTGTGGACTCATGTAGTCATATTTCTGTCACTGTTCTGCTGAATTCTGTGGAAATGCTGGTTGATCTAATGCGATTTCCTGGCCAGCTTATTCCTCTATCAACCAAGGCAATTTTTATGAGTCATATCTCAGCGGCAGGGGAAAGTGATTCTGCAGAGAATGACTCTTGTGATTCACCTTTGGAGCCAAACAGTCCCATGTTTGGTTATCCAGAGAGAAATGACCCTGAAAAGTAAGTAAATATTGAAGTTTTAAATTGTAAAATCTCACTGCATGAACATGCACTAATTATAAGTATAGTGTGTACCATATTTTACTGCACCTTCTGTTCAATACTCGGTGTTTTGGTGTGCAGAGTTTCTAATGATTGTTGTTGTACAGTGCAGAAAAAGATGAAAACCTTTCGTTGCACAGGAAACTGGATGGGTCTCCAAATACGTCTGGTCCACCATCAAGGAATGTGCTCTTACGATCTGCCTCTGCGCTAGAGAGGAAATTAAGGTGATAAGCCTAGTTGTTTTTATTATGTTTTTGTGCTACCAACCCCAGGTTTGAATATAGCTTCTGTTATACCGAGGAATGGAATAGATGACCGTATGTCATTAGTATTATCTTTTATTCTCCAGTTTCTCACAGAGCGAGTCAAACATGGCTAACGAGTTTTGGCGGCAGAGCCGGAGAAAGGTCATTGCTGATCAGCGGACTGCTAGTTCCAGGTACTCTCATCCCTGTTAAATGGTATATTTATATGCATTTTGAACCAAGTAATTCGATTTTTCATTCATAATTCCATTTCTCTAATTTCTTAGATCTTTTTTTATATCTCGTCTGCAGTCCCGAACATCTTTCCTTCCGAGCCCGTACAAGGTCCATGCTAAGTGGCGACAAGAACTTGGCACGAGATTTCACCGATGATGTTGCCACATCAAGGTTCATTATGGTTTTTGTCCTTTGTAACTTAGATATGTTGGAGAGATTTTTGCAGACTTGATTTGAGCTTTTAGTTTTATAAATATGCAATATATATACACAAGAGGGTATGGTATTTGTGAATTGTGGTGTCTGGTTTAGTGCCTAAATTTTGTTAAACAAATGCTTATGTATTCAGTTTTCATGTGCAGCTGCAAATCTGTTGGAGGAGCGAAATTGGAAACTAAGAGAATAAGGAGGAGAAGCATCAGTATAACTCCTGAGATTGGCGATGATATTGTCAGGTGGGTATTTAGTTTATGGCTCATTGAACTTCTTCATGTGCATGGCAAAGCTAGTATGATGTTTTTCTAACTATCTGCATTCTGGGTTACATATATAGTTGCCTTTATAAACAAACTTCTCTGGTTTCAATATATCCTTATTTTCCAGTGATAGGTTGTACTTGTATTCTGTTTCACCTTATATTTTTTCTCAGTTGTGATTTCATACATGTATTTGTTCCGACAAAATTAGTGGTACACTCTCTTATGGAAAATATTAAAAGAATGCAAAGAGAGGGCATTCTTTTTCTAAGTTGGGATCACATATATATCACTGTACGAGCATGTGATTATATAACATTACATATATGGAACTAAAGTTTTTAGCAACTGCAATGATTGTTACCTCTCTTTAAGATTTATGGACCATTAGTTATTTGGAACACGGAGCTTCAGTGTTTTTGTTATTTCATTGACAACTTTTTTTTTAAAGTTACCTGTTAATCTTTTTCAGGGCAGTACGAGCGATGAATGAAGCCTTGAAGCAGAATCGCCTCTCAAAAGAGCAAGGGGATGATGGTTCATCTCCTAACTCTCCAAATGACAGAACCGAGAGCTCTCATCTCCAGAAAAATGTACGTTAAGCTTATTAATATATACATCATTGAAATATTTTGAGAAATTTGGCTATGCTGGTAGCTTGTAATCATAGAAGTTAAAATATTGAAACAAAGAAACTTGGGCTGCAACAGGATACTGTGTCTCTTTTCTCATCGACTAAGTTGAAATGGGAAGTTTTATGAATTTCACGATATGGAAGAAAAATCCTAGAAGATGCTCTGTTGTGATGTGTAGGAAATCAAATGTACTGTTTCACCAAGGCACAATAATCAATTTCAAGTGGATGTTTGTCAACATGCTTAACAATATGGCTCTTGGAAACGTTCACTCATTTTGAATTACGACTTATGAAACTTGTGGCTTAACTAGACTTTTCTGCTTCTAGGTCTCTGGTTTTCATCTTGATGCTCATGACCAAGTTTCTGGTGGAAGGTCGACACTTTCAAGGGAACCACTAGATCCGCAGAAGGCAATCTCACTACCATCTTCTCCCCAAAACTACCGAAGCCAATATGAACAGAGTGGATCGTCACATCGTAATATAAGCCATATCTGGGATAAAGTTCTGGGATCTCCCATGTTCCAGAATAAGCCATTATTACCATATGAAGAATGGAACATAGACTTCTCTGAGTTGACTGTTGGGACACGTGTCGGAATTGGTAAGGATCTTTAGCTCAATGTTTTTAATTGGATTTATGCGTTCTTGCAAAATTGTTGGCCATGAATTTCCTTCAAGAAAAACGTCTAGTATTTCTTAATTATCCTTCACGCTCCTTACCCTTGTAGTTGTCATCAAATACTTTCTTATTTTTATTTTTTTTTTGTATTAGCAACCCATCTAAAACATTTTCGTTGATTTTTAAATCCAGGATTTTTCGGAGAAGTATTCCGTGGGATCTGGAACGGGACAGACGTCGCGATCAAAGTGTTCCTTGAGCAAGACCTTACAGCTGAGAACATGGAGGACTTCTGCAATGAGATATCAATTCTTAGGTAAGTCTATAGGCTTCTCTCTGTTTATTCAAATTTAGCAATATCGTCTTGACTTGTCTGACTTTCTTTCCTGCCTTCTTTTTCTGCGTCCAAATAAACACCAGCCGACTTAGACATCCCAATGGTACTCCACTACTCTTCTATCTCTATGACACTGTAAGATTTTAGTATATGTTTTCATTAACGCATGCATCTTCGGCTTCTTGTAGTTATACTGTTCCTTGGAGCATGCACAAAGCCTCCACGATTATCACTGATCACTGAGTACATGGAAATGGGATCTTTGTATTATTTGCTCCACATGAGTGGACAAAAAAAGAGGTTAAGCTGGCGGAGGAAGCTAAAGATGCTTCGTGACATTTGCAGGTAATTTCATCTTCCATACAAAACCCTGTATTCTTTTTTCCAACATAATGTGGTATAATATTGTAAAATATTATTTTGACGAGAAGGCAATAACACTTCCAAATAGGACCTGGAATTGTGTCTCGATGAGGAAATTTTGTAATCATTTTTTATTAACGAACAGCGTTTAAACTTGTAAAATGTTGCTAGGGGCTTGATGTGCATACACCGGATGGGGATAGTACACCGTGATATAAAGAGCGCAAACTGTCTTTTGAGCAACAAATGGACAGTTAAGATCTGTGATTTTGGGCTCTCGAGAATAATGACAGGCACAACAATGAGAGACACAGTCTCAGCAGGAACTCCAGAGTGGATGGCTCCTGAACTTATCCGCAATGAGCCCTTCTCGGAAAAGTGTGATATCTTCAGCTTAGGTGTAATAATGTGGGAACTCTGCACTTTAACCAGACCTTGGGAAGGAGTACCGCCTGAACGGGTAACATAACTGAACAAGAAGAAGGCTCTTTAGTGACATGTGTGATGTGTCTATATATAACAAGTTTCTGCATTTTTTTTTCTCAGGTTGTTTATGCTATTGCTTACGAGGGAGCTCGGCTTGAGATTCCTGAAGGACCACTGGGAAAGCTTATTGCAGGTCTTGTGACTGCTCAAAGTGTTGTTCCTGAATGTTTATCGGATGTTTATGGAATATCCTTTTCTGATGTGTTTTCTCCTGTTCGCAGATTGTTGGACAGAACCGGAACAAAGACCGAGTTGCAATGAGATACTCTCTCGTTTGCTGGATTGCGAGTATTCGCTTTGCTAACTTCTGTCAATCATTTTCCTTCTGTGAATATAAAACTTTGCAGCGAGAGAGGTTTTTTTCTCTTCGTTTTCTTTTTCGAATATTGTTGGCTTTCTTCATTGAGTTTTTGTACAAAAGAACTTTGGCGGTTTCACAAAAAGCTTTGTGGAACTCTTTTCCGTTTGATCATTTGCAAATTCGTAAATTCAAAAACCTTTTAAAGAAAAAAAGTAGACTTACAAATTTCACAAAAAGCGAGAAGACTTGCTCACTCGTTCAGTTTAAATGATTAAGCCTTCTACTCTTTTTCGTACCATAAAGGTTTGTTCGCATTTGCTATGAGAAGGTGTTGCACAAAAAATAAATATATTTTCGTTTACATAAAAAAAAAAAAAAGGAAAAGGAGCTTTTTTCCGATAACTTACAAAAAATGATATTTTGGTCAGACTACTTGGCACTACTAGCATTACATTTTACGGTAACTAAAATAAACTAATCAAACATCTAATGAGCCATATTCGATTAGTCAATTACCTTGATTTTCCTCTACAGTTTCAGAAAATTTCACCATGCTATAAATTATTCAATTACATACTATTAATGGTCGATACCAATTCATTTCTTACCGTTAAAAATCATATTCTAATTAAGCTAGACAAAAATGGAAAATGTCAACCAAAACCATAAATAATACCAACTAATCTTAAATTGTGAAAAAAATTCTTCTGTAAAATAAAAGTCAACACAAAATTGACTAACCTTGAAAACCATCTTATAAACAAGCGTTTCGATACAGTGAGATAAAAAGAGAAATTAAAACATAATGAAATTTGTTTAGAATTACTACACGTATAACTAATGAATTTTAGACTAGACTATATGAAGAAAAAAAAAAAGACTAGACTATAAAATTTCACATGTTTTTCCATAAAATATTAAATTGAATTTTTAAAGCGTTTGTCAAACAGAAAAATATAAGTATCTTCTTATCTCGTAAAAAGTAAAAAAAATTTAAAATAAAAATTAAAATATTTTAGCTCTTAATAAAACGAAATTAACGATATATATAAATGAATCTGCTCACGGTTTAGTACATGCACACAAAGCAAAAACGCTGGTTTGTTTTTTTAAAAGAACTTCGTTCGTCGTCAATTCCGTTACCGTCACCGTCACCGTGACTGTCCACCTCCGTTTATCTCATCCTCACCGTTCATCTTCTCCGATCTAACTCGCCGTCGTTCACCGTATGATGGACGCCGTCAACGATTCCTTTTCGCCGGGATCTTCTCGTCCTTCGCCGTCGACGCTTTCTCGTGAAGATTGCTGGAGCGAGGAAGCGACCTTCACGCTAATCCAAGCCTGGGGTAATCGCTACGTCGAGCTTAGCCGTGGTAATCTCCGTCAGAAACACTGGCAAGAGGTGGCTAACGCCGTTAACGACCGTCACTACAACACCGGCCGAAACGTTTCCGCCGCCAAATCGCAGCCGTATCGCACCGACGTTCAGTGTAAAAACCGGATCGATACTTTGAAGAAGAAGTTCAAAGTGGAGAAGGCTAGGGTTTCCGAATCCAATCCCGGTGCCTACATCAGCCCTTGGCCTTTCTTCTCCGCTCTCGATGACCTTCTCCGGGAAAGCTTTCCGACGTCTAGTAATCCTGATTCAACTGATAACATCCCGAGCCAGAGGCTATCGCTTCCGATGGCGATTATTCCAGTTCCGGTCGCTCCACGATCGGCGATCCCCAGACGTCCGGCGACGTCGCCGGCGATTATACCTCACGTCGGTGACGATTTACTCGGATTCCGCGGAAATCTAAACGCATTCGCGGCAGCCGCAGCGGCGGCGGCGTGCCCGGCGTCTGAGGATGATTCGGAAGGTTCAAGGTCTAGATCGAGCGGACGAAGCGGAAGTAAGAAGAAGCGGGAGAGGGAAACTGAGAAGAAGCAAGGTTACAAGGAAGTTGCCGACGCAATTGAGAGGCTTGGACAGATATACGAGAGAGTCGAGGAGAGGAAGAGGAAGGAAATGGTTGAATTGGAGAAGCAGAGAATGCGATTCGCTAAGGAATTGGAATGTCATAGGATGCAACTCTTCACTGAGATGCAGGTACGTCTTCATAAGCTCCGGCGTACTTCTGGATCCAAAGGACCGACGTCCTCCGCCTCCGCCGGTGAGACCTGAATCCCTTTTCTCGCCGAATTTCGTAATCTGTGTCTTTCTCCATTGTTTAGCTGTGTAACAGTGACTATATAGAGTAAGAGTAGAAAAAGAGTTTACCTTTACTTGTGTATTCTCTGTGCCAACGACGGCTTTAAGTATAATAAACCCATCTGTGAAAGATTTGAAAAGAATTCAAAGTCCAATGCTTTTGCTTCTTGCAGAAAATGATCTACTTGATTTCATTTATGTGTTCAGAGGGTTATGAAAATTTAGTAGCTTGGGTAGGATCTGCAAAAGTAAAGGAAATGATGTTGGTACAAAAGCAAATTAATTTCGCACATAGATGATGAATCTGAAGAAAAATAAAACTAATTAGTAGCAAGTATTGGTATTCATGGTAAGTAAGAGGTTCTGGTTACTTTTCTCTCCTAGATGTTGTTGCTTTGTTACTTCTGTTTCTTGCAATTATAGCTTGAGGCTGGAAATTTTTTTACAATGACTGATGTGAGCATTAGTTGGGAAGCAGTTCAGAGCTAGAAAGTTGAATCTGCTTCTTTTTGTTGTTAAGCATGAGTGTGCTTTGTGAAGTGGCACGATGATAGCTTCCTCTATTCCTTTTCTATTTGAGTGTGATGCCCAATAAGTTTGTTCAAACTCTACTATCAAGAGTAGCCTTTTGTTGGTTAGTTGATTGAGAAGAAGATTGTGAGTTTGCATGCTAACTGCTTCGAAAGTTAGGAAATACTGGGTATCGATGTTTGAAAAGATAGTGCATGATATGTTGAAGAATTAGTTTTGGTTTAGAGAGACAATGCTTGAGATACCGCTGAAGAATGAACTGAGAAAACAAACCAGCATGACGAGATTTGCAACCATTAGTTATTGGCATGTCTCAAAAGACAAAATTTGATTTTTTTGGATGCATCAAATCTTTCCTGCAACTTGGCTATGGCATTATACAAAATACCGTTGTTTCTTTCGTTTTTGCTTGGTCCATTTTTCTCTACTTGTTAGTCTAACCATCACCTGCTAATTTGATGAATTCCTCTTTGCATCACATGTCTGACCACTAGAACTAATAATCAGCAGCCGTTCATGTATGAATAATAAGTGAAATTTTTCTGTGTATGCAGCTCTTGATTATGGGATGATAGACTTTCCTAGTTACTTCTAATGGGTAAGCCTCCTTCCTTTTTATTTTTTTGTTCAAAACTCTCTCGTCGATCAAAACTTAGACTATGTAAATCCAAAAGTCATGTTTTGAGTTGTTGGGCTTAAGTCGTTGTTTTTGTTTTGCAGCATCATGAGTTTGTGATTGTAGCCATTGATGAAGATGGGAGAAGTCAACATCTAAGCGTTCTTCCACCAACCAATAGAAGATATGGTAACAAAGAAAAATGAGTTTGTCTTTATTTTGTAAATTTTTTACTCTTTTAGAAGATTCCGATTCCAACCCATGATTGAAGAGAAAGAAAATTGGTGACTTTATATTGGTATATCTAAACAATGAAACAGTAGAAGAAATAGTTTTCAGCAAAATTTCTTGGTTATTATTGTTTGGTATTTCTTACTTTGTGTTTTGATTTAATTAGGGGCAAATAAAAACATTTTTCTTCAGGGGTGTACCGCCGGCTATATCATAGTAATTCATTATTTTTCTATCACAAATCTCAAAATAAATAAAGATTCTCTTTAGCTAGTATATGACTATATGATATGTTTTCTTTTTTCAAAAATGAAACTTAAAGAGTTTTATAACAAAATTTGAATGTATTCAATGTAGGGTAAAGGTCATATACTGATATCAAAGTAAATGATATGTATTCATTATGTATTTTTTTGTCAACATGTGGTCATTGTATGATCTTAACAATTACCAGCTCATAATATAATTCAAAATTCACTAGATTCACCAATAATAAATTTCCTCTTTTTCCTACTAACGAATAGTTTTCCTTTAAAACATCTAAATGTATAGAAATACATACAAAATAGCAAAAATATCCATAAAAATACAAAAAATAATATATAAAAAATTTTATACTTTTACAAATGTAATACTTAAAAAAAAAAGTTAAAACTGTTTAATGATTTTATATTGTTAAAGTCATATATATTTATCATGTCCTCTCTTTTTTGTTTGTAGGATTACTAATATATAAGATTGTTAAACGACAGAGCTACCCGTACGTAAAGTATAGTAAAACTAAGGAGGCATGGAAAGAAGAGAAGAGAAGACAAAAGATATCAATGTAACAGTCCGGATCCGTGCATGATTTGATATCTTTCCATTATTTTTATTATGTTGTAGTTTGGAATCCTAGCATTAGACAATATGTTACCATTCACAAACCAGGTAAACTCATATTTGGTGTACAAGTATTTTCAAAAAGCTATTTAAGATACGATCCTTTTGGAAATACGTATAAACTACTGAGCATGTCATACGGCAGCACTGATGATTCTTATGTTCTTACATTGGGACCTCGAGAATCATGGAGACAGATCAAAGAAATTCCTAAGCGTTTTTTATCATGTAAAGGGATATGCATCAGTGGAGTTTTATTTATTATTGTTAACACTGGAGTTCGAAAAGAAATCATGAGTTTTGATGTGAGGAGTCAAAAGTTCAAATTAATCCAAACACACAATTGTATGCGGTACGAAGACGTGGAGCCTAATCCTTCACTAGTGAGCTACAAGGGGAAATTAGCATGGCTTATCTTAGAATCATCGTTTTACAAATTATGGATTCTTGAAGATGCTGAAAAACAAGAATGGTCGTGCCAAGACTTTCATATACCAATGTCTCTGGAATATCCTATTGTGGAAGTTGATTACTTGACAGAAGATGGTGAATTTGTTTATGTATCGGTATCATGGCAAGATAAAGAGATTTATGTGTCCTATTATGATCCAAAGAGAAAAGGTAACAGGAGGATCAAGATTGAAAAATTTGAAGATGATGATGATTTTTGGCTCCGTAATGGATGTCGTGACGACGATTGGGTATTTCTTGGAAGTATTCCGGATCACATTGAAAATCTCATGTCTCTAAAACACATGACAACTTATTCACCTTCTGTTGAGAATCTCATGTCTCTAAAGCACATTAATTGTTCACCTTCTGTCTGATTCTTTCGAGTGTTTTAGCTTTTTTGCTCTCATCATAAGAGACTTGTCATAGTTTGTGTTCGTTATATATTGGTGCCTCAAATGAGGTCTATGAAACTATAGTTTATTTGTCAATGGACATTTTTTTGAAAGCTAAGCATAAGATTAAGAAGAAGAAAAATATACAAGCAGCTATGAAAGGAGTAAATAAATATAGGTTATTAGTGACTAATATGTTTAAGAATGAACTCAAAGATCACACGTAAATCACGGTTAAAAACCGGTAAAATCCGTGTTATATCAATGGTAATCACTTAGATGGAACAAAATTCAGCTTATGTCATAGCCTCATAGGTCAGTTTCTACAAAAAAATCTTTTCAAATTCTTGAATTCGATATTGGTAGATCCCAACAAAAGTTTCAAAGAGGAGGATAGTTTTTAGGATCGTCAAACATCTAAAATATGTGAGAATGTTTGAAATTCTCTCGGTATTTTGTTTGAAGCTTAGATGTGAGAGAGAGAAAGAGTTAGGCTGGTTCCCTGAAGCTGTTCTGCCTGTCCATGATTCTAACAAAGGGCTCTTCAAATGATTGAAATATTTATTGGTTAAAGTGACAGGGTTTGGCGGTTCATGAAGATGGACACTGAGCAGAGAAGGCTGAGGCCGCAAAGGGAACAAGCTCATGACCTCAAGGGAAAAGTAGCCGCCGAAGGTTCATTTACTAAAGTTACTGAAAGCATAAAAAAAATTAAAAAAAAAAAAAAAATGTTATTACAACTAACCAAGCCCACCAGACCCACTTGTAACTTGTAAGTAAAAAATCAAATGAACCATTGAATTGGGGCATTTTTGCATGAATGAGAAGCATGCATTTTCCTCAGATTGATACAATCGGAGCAGGTTTCAATATGATAATACAGTGAAACAAAAAAAAAAGAATGAAAATTTCAATTAACAAATGGCTCTTTGAATCAATTTACGTTCGTGAAGACTAAAGATTTGAAAGAAAAAAAGAATGAGAAGAGAGATATGTTATAAGAGGAAATGCGTGACCGAGTCCTCTAGTAACTGATGACTAGGACACACCATTTCCTTCACTTTCTCTCCCTTCTTAAAGATCTTAAAGGTTGGGACTTTCTTGATGCTCTCTGCTTTTGCCAATGCCAAGCTCTCCTCCACGTCCACCTATAGACAGACCCGGTTACCGCGTTAGACCAAAAACGATAACCATTTTGCGCTAAATGCTACCACGAATGCAATGGAATTTACTAGATTGAGCATAAGAACAAGTGTCTTGCCTTGAAGAAATGTACTAATGGATACCGTAAGCATAAGGTGTTGACAAATGGAGATATTGCTTCGCTTTGTCGGTTTGATGATGATTTGAAATGAAACACAGAGATTCCTGAAGAAAAGTTTCCATTTTTTGTTAGCAAAGAGAGGAATCTTGAAAGTTAAATTTGCAAAGTGAGTTCATTCGTTTGTACCGGGTAGTGATGTTGCGGTCTTAAACTTATCTATAGTCGAAACTTCTTCAACTTCATTATTGAATCCCAGGTATTTAAGTTCTTCAGATTTGTTCGATAGAGCAGTCCTTGCTCTCTGTAAAGACTCGGCAACCTCGCTGTCTCCTGGAAGTTCCTTTCTCAATACTTCATAATCTCTAACCGCATCCTCCCATCGGCCAAGCTGCATTTAACAAAAGCAACTTTGTCAATTCAAATACTTAGAAACACCGTTCGAAACCAATTCAGTGTCTTTAATCTAACCTTTCCATATGAAGCAGCTCTTCGGAGAAGAGCTTTGGTGTAACTAGGCTGGATTCTTAGAGCTTGATTACAATCATCAACAGATTTCTCCCACATACCGAGTTTAAACCAACATGCCGCTCTATTACAATACAAAACCGAGTTGAAAGCATCGAACTTGAGTCCATCCCCATAAGCCACACTCGCCTCCGAGTATCTCCTTGAACTAAAGAGCTCGTTTCCACGGGTACGAGCTTTTGCCAAATTCTTCACATTGTTTAAGACCGATACTACCTCGGGATTATTGCTATGATCAATCGTCATGGCTCTCTCCGCCTTCACAACCGCACTCTCAAATCTGCAACAAACCTATCATCTCTACTCACTCACCCAAGAACCAAACAACACTAGTAATAAAGAATCAAAACACCTTTCTAAGTTTAAGCATTTCGAAGCTCACCTTCCTAACGCCATATCAACTTGAGCTTGAACACAGAGCACATAAGCATCACATGTCATACCAAACAGTTTCGCAGGTGATTGAGTATGATGATGATCCATCCTCGGAATATTAGACAGACACAAATCTGAATCCTTTATCTGATGAAGCCGCAAAAAGGCTTCTGCTTTACAAGCTACAAGCTGCACAAGATCAAACCTCATTGTTTTAAAAGATCAAGTCTTTTCACTGATAATTCAAACACAAAAGAGGCAATGCCACATTTTGATCTCTAACCTGAGGAGAAGAATCAGCTCCATTTGCAATGGCTGCATCGATTTCGCTAATTACCGTTCTCCAATCACCGATCTTTCGAGCTTCTGTACACAGCCTGAGATGTTTCTCAAGCGTCTGCAACCTCCGCAAATCGGCTTGATCGGGACATTGCCCGGAAAAAAAAAGATGACGTCTCGCATTCTCAGCTTCTCCCAATCTAAAACCAAACCAATCAAAGATTAAACCTTTTTGAATAATACAAATTGGGTTTAAACTTTAAAGTAGAGATTTTTATACCTGAGATAGAGAGAAGCGAGTCTCTGGTGAGCTCTAGCGTAAGAAGGATCGAATCTCACAGCTTCAAGGCATTCTTTAACAGCTTCTTCTAACCTCCCTGACGCAGCCAACGCCGCCGCGCGATTGCTTCTGTAAGCTGGATTCTCCGGTGACAATGAGATTGCTCTGTCGTAAAGAGCCAATGCCTCAGCGTAATTCCCTTTCCTATACATTTCGTTACCTGCCTTCTTCGCCTCCTCTGAGTCTCCCATTTCCGCCGCCGCTTTCGTCGCGTGACTCACCTTTCCGCCGCTGCGGATGATGTTTCCGTGGCCGTAGTTTGCCGTGCCTGTGCATAGAGTCTCCGGTCTAACAGAGGCTCGTGTAGCCATTCCGGTTTTCATAATCCTCCCCGACGGACAAATGTTTCCGGTAGGTAAAACGCCGGGATTCGGCGAGGTAGCCCCGCTTCCTCCGCCGCGAGAACTGTTATTGTTCACCGGAGAGAACCCCAAACCGGAATAAATCAACGGCGTTCCAGCAGAAGCGGATCTTCTGTGACCCGGTTTCAGACTCCGGTTAACGTTTCTGGATCCGGGTTTAACCGGACTGGTCTCGCTTAAACCAGAAAACTCGCCGGAGTGACTCCGTCTAGCAAACTGAGAAGTGACTGCCTGTTTGCCGGAAGCAGAACCAGAGGAGCTTGAACTGCTGCCACTAGGGGCAGGAGTCGCAGCGGCGGAGGAGGAGCCACGTGGCCTCAACGGAGAAATGGGAGAAGCAAAATCGAGTTCTCGAAAATCGGGTTTGTCGATGACGTCATCGTCTCGTTGGAAATTCAAAGAATCACGGAATTTAGTGGTAATGGAAGGTTCTAGCGAATGTCTTCTATAATGTGACATCTTCTTCAATACCAAAATATTAATCGCCTCTCAGAAGAATCACAGAGAATGAAGAAGAAGAGTTAGTGAAGAAGATTGAGAAGAGAGATGTTTGTGATATATAAAAGGGAGCAGAAGAATGAGAACGAAGATGGTAAAATCAAAATTATTTTAGATTACCGCTAAAAAACTTTATTAGTAATTAACTTAAAACGACTAATTCTGTGTGTTTTTATAAAATATTGTCAGATTAAGACATTGATCTTCTTCTTATGCTTCTGTTCATCACGAGCCTCTCATATCCTTCCGTGTCTTTCACGGCTGCTTATCGCTAAATATACGGTGATTTTATGCCATTTTTTAAAAAATTTAATCCTTGTAGATATTATTATGTACTATAGAGACTGTGTCTGTATGTATGGTTGACTTTCAAGTTTATTTATGTTTGAACAGAATCTAGATGAAACTTGTATTTGCCGACCACACAACATAAAAAAAAAATAAACGTAAAAGTCAAAATAAAATGAAATTTGTACTTTGTTGATCTTTGGATGTTTTTGGGGTTGTAAGTACGATATCTTACATGTTTATGAAGGACAGTCAGAAAAATAAAAGTCAGTGGATATATTACGCATATCTTACATGCAAGCATGTATTTAGGTTCAACCATTGTGTATTCGTTAAAGAAGATAAAAGATGATTTGAATTTGTTTTATCTAAATGTTAGTAATGAAAACTACATAATATTGCGATGTAATATATTACATACGGATAATTTCTGTGAAAGCATCGAGATTTCTTTTTTCTTACAGCAGAATGTTGGGCAACTAATCAAGCTACGTAATTCATGGAGAAAGAAATTAATATGTCACATTTCCTATGTTTATAACAGTGATTCGTACCAAATTATAATACTAGTTTGTAAATTGTAATAATACTGTTGTAATGTGTAATGAGAATGCAGCATGAAATGAAAAAGCCACCTCCGGGTTTTGAACTCTCGTATCAGAGTCAGAGTCAGAGTCAGCAAAATTGAGGGTAAAAGCGTCTATTAGGTAGGCCATATGTGTTTTATCAAAGTTTACAAAAAATGAATTAGGATTTTGAATTTTGAGCTTTGAAACGATCATAAAAATATACTAATTATTTTGTAAATTCACACGAAAATGAAAGAAAAATAAGGACAGCATAAAATTCGTATAAGAAGAGAGCAAAAGAACAGAAAACAAAAGCAGAAAAATAGGGAAAATTCAAAAGCAAAAGAGAAGTGAAGGCTCATTTACTGATGATGCATAGCTGGCAATATTTTTAAAGACGTCACTCGAAAAGCCTGCTAATTTCTTTCTTGGATTAATAAGACAAATATTCATTTACTAGTATTAAACTTTAATCAGTGTTCTGATATATTTACCATTTATATATATACTCTATGGAGACAGTCTTGAGACCATCAGCTTGGCCCTCTTTTAAGTCTCAGACCGAGTCCGTGTTATTGGCTCTTAGTCATATTCCTATGTGGAGAATTCTGTGTGAGGAAAGATGCGCTAACAAAGGTGCTTTCCTTATCGCTCAGAGTGTGACAAGAGAGGATCGACGACAATCATACGTAGCTTCCGGCTACCCTTTTTGGTTACATGGACTTTTTTGTGAAAAAATGTATACTACTTGATTGTAGTACCTTTTGTATTCTCTTCTGTGTAGGTGATTGTCTTAGATCCCCTCTTTTTTGGGTTACACTGTAATATTGATCTTTCTAAATTATCAATACATTGAATCATTCAGGCCAAAAAAAAATATATACTCTATGGCTGCTATAGCTTAACTAAAATAAGAGATGGAGTGTAGTAGAACGAAGGAAACAGAAATAGTTAGAAACGCTAAATAGGGGTAAAATAGTAAATATAGGACGACGCTGGCCACGTGCGAGAGTGACCGTGCCAGCTGTTTCACTACAGTTGCCAGCTAAGCACGCCGAATAAACATTTTAACGGAACCGGACGGAATAAACATTATGAAAGCGGTCCCCAATCTCCCGCCGAACCGACGATATGGGCGATAGACAATTTCTTCATACCGGACGGTCCGTGACATGAGTCGCTCCAAATATCGGATCAACCGAACCGGCTTTTTTGACCTAATATAGTAAGTATATAAATTAGAAATATCAAGTACATAAATCATAAGAAATAGAAAATATAATTTGGTCCCCGACTAAAAAAAATAATCATTGACGGATCGGAGAAGCACCTTTCACTGTTTCACACTCAACAATAATAATGAACATTTTAACTCAATTATTGAATTATTCACTCCAAAAATACATCAAAAAAAAGAGGTCACACTCACACACAGGTGCGGAGGCCATGCTTTGGTAGGGGGTCAGTTGACCCCCATAATTTTATAAAACTTTATTATATATTATTAGTAATAATTGAAATGACCCCAACCTAAAACAATTTTTGAACCCAATTCAAAATTAATGTTAGAACATGAAACAAAAAATAGTTCAAATACTTGAAATTTGGTCTTCCAATAAAATTTTAAACTCATACTTTATCTTAACAAAAAATATTTACTTAATATTATTTAATTGTTTACAGAAAACACTAATAAAAGAATATCATATTTAATATATTTTTTATTAAAAAAAAAAATTGATCCCCATAAAATAAGATTTTAGCTCTGCCAATCTGCCACTGCTCACACCCAAGTAGATATTAAAAAAAAATGCAAATTAAATTGCATATCGCATATTATAAATGTATGATGATCACATAATACATATTACAGCAGCTTGCATATTTAAACGTTAGCACAATCACAGTAATAAGTAGTTCAATCTTATAGTCACACGTACAACGGTACATTTGTTTGTTGCAATAATTGATTCATAGACTCTCAAGAAGCATTCTTCTCTCATATTTTTTTAGAAGAAGTTATAACTAAAATAATACTAGTACTGGTGGTGGCCGCAACATTTGACCCAATCATAAAAACGACAAAGAGGAAATGGTAAGTAACATTTCAAATATGGAATGAGAGTAATTAGCTGGTAATTACGGTATCATTAAATAATTGTCGAGATCATTCTCAGTAAATAAAAGAACAGAAATTGGGTTCAAATAAAACAAAGAAGAAGTAAGGAGAGAAAAAAAGGGGAGAAAATCTCCTTTTCCTCCGATTGGGGAACATACTTTATACATAATTAATTTTATATTTGTAAGAAAATTAGTGCTCCTAATTTCTCAAGGGCATGGCCTTAATTATTATTGGTGCTGACTGTGCTGGACGAACGTGGACCCACATTTGTAAGATTCGAACGTGACGTGTGCTATATTGTTTAGCCCAAATTTTTCATTAAATTAAAAATTCATTATGGAACTAATCATTGTTCTAAAAATCGGCCGTTTAGGCGCTGATCGGAGGAGCACCGCGGTGATTTTGTCCAAATCGGTGAAAAAAATCGGAGATCCGATTTTTTGTCCGTCTAGACCGCCTAGCCCGCCTAGACGGCGCCTAGCCCTTTTTTTTTTTTTTTACTTTTTTTTTTTATCTAAAATTCAAAACGTCCTACTTATGTTCGTAATTTGTATGAAAATCATAAATTTGAAATTAAAATCTTGTTTTCATGTGTTTAATATAATTTTAAAAACAATATTATATAAATTTCTTAATTATAATGGATTAATATGTTTTTAAAACATTAAATAGTCCTAAAACTAATCTCCGATTAATTCCGGTATAATCCCTGATTTTTTTGCTAGGCGCTAGACGCACCCTCACCGCCCGACTAGCGCCTAGCGATTTTTTAAACACCGGAGCTAATACACAAAACGTCGCCAAACAATATGTAAATGTATCAAAACTTTTAGAAGAAAAAGATTTCTAAGGAAGCCAAGATAAGTCACATGAATATATATTTTCTTCTTTTCATTTACTTTAAACATAAAAAAAAAATGTTTGTATTTACTGTTTTTTTCAATTTTTTGCATCCCAAAAATTAGATGGTAAAAATATCATTTAAATCATCAGTTTATCATTTTCGTTGATTTAAAGCATGAATTCTGGACCTGATGATTTAAATCCTCAATTTTATGCGACCATGTGATTTAAATCTTTAATTTTATGTTGACTTTCAATTTAATCACGAATTTTTGTTGACTAAACCAATTGTGGCACATTGTTAATTGGCTAAACGAAGCAATCATATAAATAGGAAGATGGAAACCATGTTGGTGTAGAAGAAAAATTATGTGATGACTTCGAAGTGCTAGTTATGCGATGACATCGTTTTACTGATCTTTTTAGCCAGTTAGTAATGTGCCTCAATTGGCATTATCAATGAGAATTCATGATTAAAATAAAAATCAATATAAAATAAAAGATTTAAATCATCAGGTGTAAAGTTCATGATTTAAACCAACGAAAATGGTAAACTAATAATTTAAATTACATTTTTCCCAAAATTAAATATATACTACAAGACAAATATATCAATTCAATCACTAGTAAAATTATAAAGTAAACATGGTTTTTATTTCTAAAAAAATCTATTAAATATTATTGCCATTAATGATTTATCTTTTAATGCACATCGCCAAAGCTGCTAGTGTTTGCGTGACAGTATAACATATGACTACAAAAATTGATCACTATGGATGAATGAGAAATGGTTGCAGTCAAAGTTTCCCGTAATCGTTGTAGGAAATCGATTTTTACAGGTGTATGCTTTTGGTCACTAGAAGATTCATCAAATGACTATGATAATTTATTAAGCATAAACTCTGTAGTATCTGTCAATTTAATATTTATTTATCAAAAATATTCACACATATATATATATCGAACAAATGCAACACCAATAACTGGGTCATATACATTTTTAAAAAAGGAGAACCTATTAATATTTCGATCTAATAACTTATTCGAATGTAGAGTTGGAGACATTTTTCATTACTGGAAAATCTTTTTGTTTAAAGAATTAGTCAGACACTACAGCGATCCTAAAAATATCAATATTAAACATATAGTTCTAGCAATTATTTATTTAAGCATATCACATTGTATATTCTGTTTTAGACTAACGATATATGTAAGTAATTGAGTATATAAACAAAATGATTCCCAATACTATATACAACGACAAATAAACCACGTATGGGTGGCTATTATCTGGTTTTCTATCTTTTTTTTCTTATTTTTGTTTTGTCAACATCTGGTTTTCTAATTAATTTGATTAAAAATTCAAATTTATCGATAAACGACGCTTGGCTAAGCTTGATCCTTATGGTCATTAAGGGTATCCAATGTTCATATAATTTAGTTTCATAAGCAAATG